CAACTCCCTGCAAAAGGGATTGTCACAGATTCTGTACAAAGGGACAAACATCATCATTTGCTCACGTCATAGGGGCTTACCCCCGGGCGGGCTATGGAGCCGCAATTACGTTACCAGCACCGATTTTGGGCGTCAAAGGTTAACATGTTTTGGCTCTCCAACAACCTTTCAACCTCACAGAGTGCCTACAAGAGGGTGGTTTAAGTAAGTTGAGATATTTTCCTTGGTGGGAAGCGCCGACACCTGGTAATGTGGTCGTGGCTCCATAAACGCCCCCCGGGCAAGTTACGGAGCCACGATTACGCTACCAGCAGAATTTTTTGGGTAACCGGGGGGCGCCTTTCGCACCCACGTTGTGGACAACAAGCGTGCGTTGACCAGCCCCAATGTTGACGAGCCCCCAAGAAGCCTTTCGCACCCACGTTGTGGACAACAAGCGTGCGTTGACCAGCCTCAATGTTGACGAGCCCCCAAGAAGCCTTTCGCACCCACGTTGTGGACAACAAGCGCGCGTTGACCAGCCTCAATGTTGACGAGCCCCCAAGAAGCCTTTCGCACCCACGTTGTGGACAACAAGCGTGCGTTGACCAGCCCCAATGTTGACGAGCCCCCAAGAAGCCTTTCGCACCCACGTTGTGAACAAGAAGCGTGCGTTGACCAGGCCCCAATGTTGACGAGCCCCCAAAAAGCCTTACCCACGGTGTGGACAACAAGCGTGCGTTGACCAGCCCCAATGTTGACGAGCCCCCAAGAAGCCTTTCGCACCCGCGTTGTGGACAACAAGCGTGCGTTGACCAGCCTCAATGTTGACGAGCCCCAACCTTTCGCACCCACGTTGTGGACAACAAGCGTGCGTTGACCAGCCCCAATGTTGACGAGCCCAAAAAGCCTTTCGCACCCACGTTGTGGACAACAAGCGTGCGTTGACCAGGCCCCAATGTTGACGAGCCCCAACCTTTCGCACCCACGTTGTGGACAACAAGCGTGCGTTTACCGGCCCCAATGTTGACGAGCCCCCAAGAAGCCTTTCGCACCCACGTTGTGGACGACAAGCGCGTTGACCAGCCCCAATGTTGACGAGCCCCCAAGAAGCCTTTCGCACCCACGTTGTGGACAACAAGCGTGCGTTGACCAGCCCCAATGTTGACGAACCCCCAAGAAGCCTTTTGCACCCACGTTGTGGACAACAAGCGTGCGTTGACCAGCCCCATTGTTGACGAACCCCCAAAAGCCTTTCGCACCCACGTTGTGGACAACAAGCGTGCGTTGACCAGCCCCAATGTTGACGAACCCCCAAAAGCCTTTCGCACCCACGTTGTGGACAACAAGCGTGCGTTGACTAGCCCTAATGTTGACGAACCCTCAAAAAGCCTTTCACCCACGTTGTGGACAACAAGCGTGCGTTGACCAGCCCCAATGTTGACGAACCCCCAAAAGCCTTTCGCACCCGCGTCGTGGCCAACGAGCGTGCGTTGACCAGCCCCAATGTTGACGAACCCCCAAAAGCCTTTCGCACCCGCGTTGACCAGGCCCAACCAGCCGTATATGGGGAAAATCCAAACCAGGATTTATAACTCCCTCCCCAAAAGGGGTTCTCACACACTGTACAAAGGGACACATCTCCATTATCTTACGTCATAGGGGTTCGCCCCCGGGCGGGTTATGGAGAAGCGATTACGTTTTGGGGCGTCATAGGGTAAGCTTGACCCTCTAACAGACTAACTAACACGTGGGAGATCACCGCTACCTTAAATAAGATTGCAGGGGGGTAAGGGGGGATTCATGATTGCAAAAATCCTGCAATCATATCCGCTTTGGAATTTGGTATGACTGCGAGCGGGCAATGCCGTTACCGAAAACAGTCCCAGCAATTTGCTATGACTGCGAGCGGGCGAAGCCGTTACCGAAAACAGTCCCTGGAACTTGCTATGACTGTGAGCGGGCGAAGCCGTTACCGAAAACAGTCCCGGGAATTTGCTATGACTGCGAGTGGGCGAAGCCGTTACCGAAAACAGTCCCTGGAATTGGCTATGACTGCGAACGGGCGAAGCCGTTATCGAAAAAACCCTTGGTATTTGCATGAATTTGCTATGGCTGCGAGCGGGCGAAGCCGTTACCGAAAACAGTCCTGGATTTTGCTATGACTGCGAGCGGGAGACGCCGTTACCGAAAACAGTCCCTGGAATTTGCTGTGACTGCGAGCGGGCGAAGCCGTTACCGAAAACAGTCCCCATGAAATTTGCTATGACTGCGAGCGGGCGAAGCCGTTACCGAAAACAGTCCCTGGAATTTGCTATGATTGCGATGGGGCGAAGCCGTGACCGCAAACAGTCCCGGCAATTTGTTATGATTGCGAGCGGGCGAAGCCGTTACTGACAACAGTCCCTGGAATTTGCTATGACTGCGAGCGGGGCAAGCCGTTACCGAAAACAGTCCATGGAATTGGCTATGACTGCGAACGGGCTAAGCCGTTACCGAAAACAGTCCCTGGAATTGGCTATGACTGCGAGCGGGCGAAGCCGTTACCGAAAACAGTCCCTGGAATTTGCTACTAGTATGACTGCGAGCGGGCGAAGCCGTTGCCGAAAAAAGTCCTTGGAATTTGCTATGACTGCGAGTGGGCGAAGCCGTTACCGAAAACAGTCCCGGGAATTTGCTATGACTGCTAGCGGGCGAAGCCGTTTCCGAAAAGCAGTCCCGGGAATTTGCTATGACTGCGAGCGGGCGAAGCCGTTACCGAAAACAGTCCCGGGAATTTGTTGTGACTGCGAGCGGGCGAAGCCGTTACCGAAAACAGTCCGTGGAATTGGCTATGACTGCGAGCGGGCGAAGCCGTTACCGAAAACAGTCCCGGGACTTTGTTATGACTGCGAGCGGGCGAAGGCCTTACCGAAAACAGTCCCTGGAATTTGCTATGACTGCAAACGGGCGAAGCCGTTGCCGAGAACAGTCCTTGGAATTTGCTATGACTGCGAGCGGGCGAAGCCGTTACCGAGAACAGGCTCTGGATTTTGCTATGACTGCGAGCGGGCGAAGCTGTTACCGAAAACAGTCCCGGGACTTTGTTATGACTGCGAGCGGGCGAAGGCCTTACCGAAAACAGTCCCTGGAATTTGCTATGACTGCAAACGGGCGAAGCCGTTGCCGAGAACAGTCCTTGGAATTTGCTATGACTGCGAGCGGGCGAAGCCGTTACCGAAAACAGTCCCGGGAATGAGTTGTGACTGCGAGCGGGCGAAGCCGTTACCGAAAACAGTCCGTGGAATTGGCTATGATTGTGCGAGCGGGCGAAGCCGTTACCGAAAGCAGTCCTTGGAATTGGCTATGACTGCGAGCGGGCGAAGCCGTTACCGAAAACAGTCCCTGGAACTTCCTATGGCTGCGAGCGGGCGAAGCCGTTACCGAAAGCAGTCCTTGGAATTTGCCATGACAGCGAGCGGGCGAAGCTGTTACCGAAAACAGTCCCTGGAAGTGGCTATGATTGCGAGCGGGCGGAGCCGTTACCGAAAACAGCCCCTGGAATTTGCTATGACTGCGAGTGGGCGAAGCCGTTACATTGCCGTTACCGAAAGCAGTCCGTGGAATTTGCTATGGCTGCGAGCAGGCGAAGCCGTTACCGAAAACAGTCCCTGGAATCTGCTATGACTGCGAGCGGGCGAAGCCGTTACCGAAAGCAGTCCCGGGAATTTGTTGTGACTGCGAGCGGGCTAAGCCGTTACCGAAAACAGTCCGTGGAATTGGCTATGATTGCGAGCGGGCGAAGCCGTTACCGAAAACAGTCCCTGGAATTTGCTATGACTGCGAGCGGGCGAAGCCGTTCCCGAAAACCGTCCCTGGAATTTGCTATGACTGCGACCGGTCGAAGCCGTTACCGAAAACACTCCCGGGAATTGGCTATGACTGCGAGCGGGCGAAGCCGTTATCGAAACAGTCCCCTCGAATTTGCAAAGGGGGGGTAATGAGCAGCCATCCCTTCATGGCAGGAAATGATTGCATGTGGGGGGTTTAAGGGGATAATGATTGCGAGGGTGGGGTTAAAGTTTACAGTGAGGGGTGATCGTGGGAGGGTTATAAATTTGCTCTCTAAACGGGGGTGGTTGAAGTAAATTTGAAGTAAGTTGAGATGTTCATCCTTTGTGGGCGCTCCTGGCACCTGGAACGTATTCGTGGCTCCACGGGTGAGTTATGGAGCCACGACTACGTTGCCAGCAGCATCATAGGGTTTTAACCCCGGGCGGGTTGTGGAGCCACGATTACGTTACCAGCAGCACAGGTTTCTGGGCGTAATAGAACTAGGCCCCCTAAAAGAGGTTGGCTTAAGTAAATTGAGATGTTTGGGAACAGAGCCCCAGCCTAGAAGCGGGTGGGGTTTGGGATGGCACAAATCCCATTTGGCCGAGCTACCTCAGTCAACCAAAAAGGCAGAAATTGGCCTGCGAGCCAGAAACTACGAATCAACAACTGCGAATCAGAAGCTAGCCCATGCAGAACCTGCGAATCAGAAACCGGCGCGCGTCAGAAACTGCGCATCAGAAACCCACGAGAATCGGCAACTGCGCATCATGAACTTGAACGAATCAGAAACTGCGCATCAGAAACCCATGCGAATTGGAAACTTCGTATCATGAACTTGCGCGAATCCAAAACTGCGCATCAGAAACCTGTGCGATTCAGAAGCTGCGACTCAGCAACTGCGCATTAGAAACCCATCAGAACCTGCAAATCAGAAACTTGCCGCGGATCAGAACGTGACCAGTCCTTAATCCCAAATCATCCGTTTGCTGGTTTCCAATCATCCGTTTCCCAGTTTCTGTTCCAGTCGTGTCGCAGATTCCGGATCAGCCGTTAGCCAGTTTCCGAATCATCCGTTTCCTGGTTTCCGATTTTCCCGTTTTGCTTTCCGATTCAGCCGTCCTGGTTTCTGGTTCGGCGGTCCTGGTTGCAGATTCGACCGTTCTGGTTTCCATGTTTTCGTCGACCCTCAATTCACGCCTTCTGAGGTTTTCGCCTCAGAGAGTTCTGTCTTGCTGGAGGAGGTTGGCGGAGTCAAGATGAGGCTGCTTGGAGATGCAGATGACAATCTGGCCTAGCGACCTACTGACATGTGTTTTGAGTGGCAGGCTGTTCCTGAGCCTGCTGGCGGTAATTTCGTTGGAGGCTTGCCGGCGTGACGTCTGCTAGGCTACATCAGGCGGAAGACGAGCCTGTGCTCGCCAGCAAGGTTAACGTTCTGCCTTGCTTGTGCGAGGCTCGCAGCTTTCTCATGAATAAATTGGCTATTGACAGGGCCAAGGACAAGGAGCAGCAAGCAGCATTTAACACCTGATTCGGCCATGTGTGTGGCGGCATCCCTCCTCCATTGCGCAAGTCTTATCGCACGCGTCAGCCTGCCATGCAGCGGTCGGGCCGTGGTGCACCCTCATCCGAGGGTGAGCGCGCCATGGTTGCACCGGCAGCATCAGATGGTGCGATGTGGGCGAGGACGAGTACGCTCTTTGAAGAGTTGGAGAGTGTCGACCAGACCTGCGGCTTTCGGCCAGAGTTCATGTTTGGAGCTCTGGCTGCTGACATGAAGCGCGTGCAAGCGATGATCGAAGAGCGCTCCGGCGACATCCGTGAGATTGAAGAACGGCAGGAGGACACTATTGAGAGGATGGGTGCATGTAGTCCTGATCACATGTTCACGACAATCGACAACTTGTATGAGCTTACACAAGAATCAGATGCCCGATCACTTGCAGGTGAGGCATTTGGATCAGCTCTGAAGAGTTTCGAAGCCACCCTGCTGAAAGTGGCTGCAGCCATGCCGCACCTGAAGGCCGCAGCCGATCCGCCCGGAGCCGTATCCGAACAGGGACGATGCGGATTGATCACAGAGGAGCACATATCCCAAATCGGAGCCTCGCTGCAGCAGCTACGTGAGACGGAGGCATCTAGGTCGCCAGGTAAAGAAGTCGTGGCCTTCGCACACCTTCTCGACTTTCGCTTGAGGCATGCATTGGAGCTTGTCTCCAGCGACCGAACCAGGAACTTGCCATCCTCCCGAGACTTGGATGCCGCTTGGTGCCATCGAACGCTTCAACAGCTTCAAAGGCGGGATGCTGGAGCTGCAAAGAGCCCAAAGAGCCCAGCCCAAACGCGGCTGCTGCGTTGGGCTCGTGAGCCTGGCCTCGTTCACCAAAGCGTGCGGCAGCTTGTCAAGCCCTGGATGCGCAAGGCCGGTCCTAAATCTGGGCACCGACCTCCTACGCCGGGTGCGCTCTTTCGTCGCGTCCCATCTGCTCCCACCAGCAGGCCTCCTGCCGACAAGGTGGCGCTCAGCGCTGCTGCAGCGGAAGCTTGGGTTCGCTGTGTGGACAGAAGCGAGTTCAGCCAGCGATTTTCGGCCAAAGTTGCCGACGTATCAAGGTAGCAAGAAGGCTGCCATCCTGGGAAAGGATCACGTGCTATATGCTATCTTATCTTGTTTGTCAAGCACTTTCCGAGTGGCATGGTGGCCCTTCAGATGCTAGCCTACAATAGAAAACACGTGTGTGTGTGTATCACATATGTACATATATATATATATATATGTATATATATATACGAATGTATGTTCGAAACCCCCATTTCTGTTCTTACTAGCTGAGTGAGTACACTTTACACTTTTTGGTCTACTACAATCCTCTATAGAACTGAAAGTGTGCACTTTTTTTGGGGCCTATGAACTCAGCAACTAAGAGTTTGTGCTAGTACAGACGTAGCCTCATGGTTTGGTCATGGACTAGTTCATAATGAATTTCGTGAGGGAAACAGATCTGGGTAGGTCATGGGGGGGGGTGTCTCTCTCTCTCTCTCTCTCTCTCTCTCTCTCTCTCTCTCTCTCTCTCTTTATATATATATATACATGTGGTTGCTGGGGTGCCCCCCCCAATGGTCTACGGTCTCCCCCCCTAAGACACTGAACCCCAAACTGGCCCTGAACCCCAAACTGGCCCTAAACCCTAAGCCCCATAAACCCTAAAGCCCTTGACCCTAAAACCCCAAACGCAAAAACCAACCCACAACAACACCACCCCGGGGGGGGGGGGGGAGGCCCGCCGGGGCGCAACCATAAAGGGTGCCCTTCCAACCCGCCCCCCCCCCCGGCGCGTGGTCTGGAACCCCCCTGCCCCCCCCCCGCCCCTGTCGGTGTGGTTGGGGGGTGGTTTTCGGGTTTAGGGTTTAGGGTTTAAAGTTTAGGGTTCAGGGTTTAGGGATCCTATTCCCCACGTCCTGTTCACTAAATCCAGAAATCTTGTTCCCTAAATCTTCTTTCCTTGAGGAGAGCCCCTAAGGAAGCCCGGAATCCCAAACAAATGAGCCTAATTCCCTAAATCTTGTCGCTGAATCCTCAAGAGCGGGATCCCAAATCTTTTTCCCGCAATACTTAAGTACACCCTGTATTTAGTTCCTCCCTAAGTCCTATTCCCTAAGCCTTAAAGAGGGGGTCCTTAAGTCTTAAAGAGGACAGCCCATAAACCCTAAAAAGCAGACCCTATTCCCGAAATATTTTTCACTTAGCCCTAAAGAGTAGGATCCCAAAATCTTGTTCCCTAAATCTTATTCCGTTTATCCTATATTCCCCATATCCTCTTGCAGAAGCCATTAGGCGGGTGGTCCTTCCTTCCTAAAGCATAGAGCCAATCCGTAAAAGTGAGCCCGCGAACTTAAATCCATTTCGCTGCATCCCAAAGAGCGGGATCCCTAAATAGCATTCCCTGAATCCCAGAATCTTGTTCCCTAGATCTTCTTTAAAGATCTTGCTCCGCACGTCATTTTCCTTGAGCTTTTTTCCTAGATCCTGTTCCTAAATCCTGTTCGTTTAGGATTTGGCGAATGAGATTTAAGGCCCGATTCGGGCAAAAGTGGGCCGACTGATTCTGCAAATTTCTTCATGGCAGAAATGACCACCCTTATTCTCCGACTCGGGGCTCTGAGTCCGTTTCCTTTTTCTGCTCCCCAAGTCCCCTTCCTGCATCCTATGCGCGTTTAGGATTAGTGAATAATTAACATTTCAGCCCCGTGAGGTTGCTAAAAGAAACTCTTTAGGATTTAGGGATCCCTCGTGCAAATCTCCAGCTTCACATCGAAGCATGTAGATCTTTGAGGGGGATAGCACATATGTATATATATATATATATATATATATATATATATATATATATATATATATATATATTTTAAGGGGCTGCGCCCATGGGCGGGCAGCGCAGGCAGAAGCGCGGGGCGAGCAGTTTCTAAGCATTTTGAGGCCCCTAAACTCCCTTAAAATCTCTAAGCGTTCGAGGCTCCTCAACTCCCTTAAAGTTTCTAAGCATTTTCAGGCCCCTAAACTCGTTTGAGGCTCCTAGACTCCCTTAAAGTTTCTAAGCACTTTATAAGGCCCCTAAACTCCCTTTTTCCTAGTCCCGGGCTTAGACACGTCGCTTATGCCCGCCCTTTGGGGGGCATCATGCTCCTGATGCGCCCCCGGGGTCCCGCCCCGGGAGCCGCCTGATGCTCCTGATGCGCGCCTGGGGGTCCCGGGCTGGACCCGCTGATGCTCATGACGCGCGCCCTCTGGGGGCCTCCGTGGCGACGCAAAAAACCACGAAAAAAAAACCGGCGGCACGCGGGGGTCGGCGGCACTGGCGTCCGGCCTAATTCTGCTTCGCAGAAGGCCAGAGGCCAGCAAGGCTATTCCCGGGACGACCCGGGCTAAAAGGTCCGCATTTGCTCGGTCCTTTGGGGACCTCGCGCTGCCCGATTTAAGGGCTAACGCCGCTGCCGCCGACCCCCGTGGAACCGGGGGGTCGGTGCGCGTGTGGGGTCGGCCCCTTCGTTGACTCATAGCTGTTTGGCACATTCCCTTTACGCATTGAGTTTCTCTAAGCATCGCAGGCTAGTAGGGCGCTTCTCGCAATGTCCCCGTCCAGCAATGCCGTCCGGAATGCCCAGCGCTTGGTTGCGCGCACTGCCGCGCAAAGGAAGGCGGTGCAACAGCTGCGCAACACGCTGGCCAGGGCCCGCGATGCAGGCCGGGAGTGGCCGAGCGCGCAGAAGTCACGGAGTCTGCGCTGACATGAATTAGAAGCGGGTATGCGGGCAGGCGCTGGGCCACCGGTGGGGGGGGGTCCCCTGGTCCAGCACCGAAAGGGAGGGGGGTGGGGTTTGGGTGGTGGACTTCGGGCTCGGGGGGGGGGGGGGGGGGGGGGTAGGGGCAGGGCAAGCACGCACGGAGCGTTTTTGTGGGTTTGTGGGTTGGCGGTCAAGTTCAAAACCCAGTGTTTTTGAGTTTTTTGGGGCCGGGAGGGGGGGGGGTCCCTGGTCGGGGGGCGGAAGGGGAGGGGGTGGGGGTGGGGGTCGACAGGTCGGGTGGGTCCGGGTCGCATGGTCGGGGGGTGGGGTCGGGGGCAATGGGCAGGTGGGCAGGGGGTCTGGGGTGCGGGAAGGGACACCAGCAAGGAACGGGTTTGGGTGCTGGACTTTGGGCTTGGGAGGAGGGGCAGGGCAAGCACGCGCGGAGCGTTTTTGTGGGCTAGGTGGCGGGGGGGTCCTTTGGTCGGGGCGGAAGGGGAGGGGTGGGGTTTGGCTGGTGGACTTCGGGCTGGGGAGCAGTAGGGGGTAGGGGCAGGGCAAGCACGCACGGAGCGTTTTTGTGGGTTGGCGGTCAGAAATCGTCAGTTCTGAACTTGACACAAAAAGTGTTTTTGAGTTTTTTGGGGCCGGGAGGGGGGGGTCCCTGGTCGGGGGGCGGAAGGGGAGGGGGGGGTGGGGGTCGACAGGTCGGGCGGGTCTGGGTCGCCTGGTCGGGGGGCAGAAGGTAAGGGCCACCTTGTGGACTTCGGGCTCGGGAGGAGTAGGGGGTAGGGGCTTGGCGGTCAAAAATCGTCCGTTCTGAACCCGACAAAAAAAGTGTTTTTGAGTTTTTCGGGGCCGGGAGGGGCGGGTCCCTGGTCAGGGGGAGGGGGTGGGGGCGGGGGTCGATGGGTGGTGGACTTCGGGCTCGGGAGGAGAAAAGGGGGTAGGGGCAGGGCAAGCACGCACGAAGCGTTTGGGGGTTGGGTCAGAAATCGTCAAAAAAAAGGGTTTTTGAGTTTTTTGGGGCCGGGAGGGGGGGTCCCTGGTCGGGGGGCGGAAGGGGAGGGGGTGGGGGTGGGGGGTCCAGGTCGCCTGGTAGGGGGGTGGTAGGGTAAGGGTCAGTGGGCAGAAGGTAAGGGCGACCGGTGGGGGGTCCCTGGTCCAGGGCGGAAGGGGAGGGGGGTGGGGTTTGGGTGGTGGACTTCGGGCTCGGGAGGAGTAGGGGGTAGGGGCAGGGCAAGCACGCACGGAGCGTTTTTGTGGGTTGGCGGTCGAAAATCGTCGGTTCTGAACCCGACAAAAAAAGTGTTTTTGAGTTTTTTGGGGCCGGGGGGTGGGGTTTGGGTGGTGGACTTCGGGCTCGGGAGGAGTCGGGGGTAGGGGCAGGGCAAGCACGCACGGAGCGTTTTGGTGGGTTGGCGGGCCATGGTCCGGGGCGGAAGGGGAGGGGGGTGGGGTTTGGGTGGTGGACTTCCGGCTTGGGAGGAGTAGGGGGTAGGGGCAGGGCAAGCACGCACGGAGCGTTTTTGTGGGTTGGCGGTCAAAAATCGTCGGTTCTGAACCCGACAAAAAAAGTGTTTTTGAGTTTTTTGGGGTCACGAGGGGGGGGGGTCCCTGGTCGGGGCGCGGAGGGGTCGTCAGGTCGGGGGAGGGGTCAGGGAGAAAAAAGTGTTTTTTGGCGGCCGGGAGGGGGGGTCCCTGGTCGGGGGAAGGGAAGGGTGGGGGGGGCGGGGGGGTCGTCAGGACTACCTCCCGTGTAAGGGGCTTCCCGGGCGCTCGACCCCAAAGGCGGGGTCGGCGGATATCTATCTATCTATATATCTATCTATCTCTCTCTCTCTCGCTCTCCCTCTCTCTCTCTGCGCGGGTGTGTGTGTGTGTGTGTGTGTGTGTGTGTGTGTGTGTGTGTGTGTGTGTGTGTGTGTGTGTGTGTGTGTGTGTGTGTGTGTGTGTGTGTGTGTGTGTGTGTGTGTGTGTGTGTCTGTTATGCCGTCTCTCAAACCGACTTCCGAAACCCCACCTGTAGATGACCATCGCATCGGACAAAACTGGTCCAGACCCTTTCCGTTCGAGGGCCCGCGGCTGACGCGGGTGACGCATTTGTGCCAGCACAGAGGCAAAACCACAAAGTGGTATGTTGCCTTGACTGGGCAATCCGGAGGCTCAAAATGGCTCGAATAGGCGAGATATGACTTCGTCTTGCCTCGTTCTAAAAGCGGAGTACTGATTTTGCGATCACAGCTTCGCACCGTCTCGCCAGGCTTGGGGGTTCGCGCTCCTACAAATGATGGGCTGGCTGTGGTCCCTGGTTTCGTTGATCGTGGCCGAGCACTCATTTTTTCGGACTCTTCTGTTGGGACAACTGCGATTTCGAGAGCCGTCAGGCCTGTGCTTGCTTCGTCGTGCTGGGCAAAATCACGGGTGGCATCGACAAGGCGGTGGAATATCGTCCACACAATGCCGACAGATTGCCTGCTGGAAGTGTCATGCATTCGATTGCATTCGCAGCCAGCAGGTAATTCTGCAACATGCTCAGCAGCATCCGTCGAGTCAGCACGATCTCGGAAAGGCGCGTTGACGAGGTGCTGAAGCAAAACAGCTCCATGTTCACAACCGCTTCCAATAGTCGTGAGCAGCGCAGCGCAAGTCGCTGCAAAAGTTTCACTGTGAAACATGTCTCTTGGATACTACTGGCGGGAGCATTGTGGATCGAGCAACAGCAGCAACAAACCGCAAGCACACAGCCAGAAGGATCTCTGAGCTTAGCAGCCACAGCGAGAGGCAGCCATTCAGCATCGACCAGAGACCAGTGAACCATCACTGAAAGGGCTCCCAACACATCAGCGGCCCTTTCCAGACAATGTGCAAATGGAGAGTCGCTGGCGCCTGGCTTGGGGTGAAGCCAGGGCACCCTGCAGGGCAGCCAGCGAGGCAGCTTGGGGTGCCCAGGAGAGTTGCTCTTTGTGTCAACATACAGTAACATACGTGCTTTCAACGAAAAGGTTTTGGGCCCTCAGCTCGAGGACTCCAGGACGGTTGCGTTGTTGCGTCGACTTTGCGCGCGCTTCCGTTACAGAAAAATTGGTGCATCTGTGGGTTTGCAAGGAGACCTGATGCCGACGCCCTTACTCCGGCCAGGTCGGGGTCTCGAGATTCGCTTTGGTCCTCCGAGGTTTTTTTTGTTGCTTTGCTTCTTCCTTTTGCCTTCTTTTCTGTTTCGTGCAGGTCAGGCTCCTCCTTTTGGTCTGCCGTGGTCTCAACTGGCACTGTGCTGCCTAGATCCATTCAGCTCAAATGACTTTCCGAGCTTTTACCTGGCATTTCCGAAGGCACACAGCAGCAGGGTTAGCACAGCCGGATCCTTGGCGTGGGAACTTGGGTCTGTAGCTCGCGAAGCTTGCGATGGTGCGTGGCCGACATGGAGTGATCTCCCTGAGACCAGCGGAAGCAGCCGTGTCTGCGCTCACCTCAGAGCTTCCCTCAGATTCTCATGCAGTTTGGAGAGCAGAAGCTTGTGTGGACCAAGGCAATGGCCCACGTTCACCAGAAACCTGCGCCAAGGACAGCCACTGGTGACGCAAAGTGTGTAATTATGGTTTAGAAATTTCCCGAATGAGCCGCGAATTTTTTAGAGGCACTCATGCAGTCTGAATAAGATGTGAAAATCTGGCCGGCATGGGTGGCCAGATTTCGGAAGGGATTGTGGAAGCCCTTTGCCTGCGAGAGCTCTGTGGAAGCCCTCGTCGCAATAGCTCCAGCCAGAATCTTAAACCCCATCCGTACCTGTGTCCGGTGGGACATCGATCTGGAAATATCTTCAAGGAGATATCGGAAATCTGCAGAAGCTTCGCGGAATGTCCGCGGTCATTTGACAGACGCGCAGCAAGTCTTTCAGACCTGATTTGTCAACCAAATGCGAAGCTCATATGTTCGAATGTGGATGTGGGGTGTCGATCCTCCGGAAGGTCTGCGGAAGGGTTCTGTGGAAAGGCTCCAGATTTCTATTATTTAAATGACACCATGGCTCAAACGGGATGCTCGAAACTCGGAGCCGAAAGAAGGGCTCTGATAAGGAGTGGATAAACCCAGATCCGAAACCCCAAAGAGAACCTTCTAACAGAAGTGGAAGCTGAGAGCCCTGGCAGACCCTAGTAAGCCCTGAAAAGCGAAGCCCCAGAACCCAGAAACCCATGTAAACATGACAGGCCTTAAGAGGTGTGCAGAAGATTGCAGAAGCTTTTTGGTTAGAGTTGAAGAGTCCTTTGATCTCGGCGTAGCTCAGCGTCAAAGCGTCCCAGGACACTTCGCAACAGGATCTGTCACTGCCCGAGCAGTGGGAGACCAGGCGCCTGGAATCCTATTTGGAAGATTAAGATCATTGGGGCATTCATGATTGTCATTCATGATTTCGGGGGCTGGGCTCACTGGACGTTGGCGCTAATTAAGAGGTTGGCCAACACAATGACGCTCCGCACGGTCCAAAACACCATGAGACTGGGTTGCAGAGTAAGCCGCCTCCACTCATGCATGCGTGCAAGGGTTGGATGAAGATGAAAAGCAGATGTGTCGCAGGAAACACGCTCATCAACTCTTGCAGCTGCTCACACACAGATATGGCTCTTGCAGTCCAGTCCACATATCCTGTTGGGAGGCCTGGACTAGCTGTGAGCTTACTTGAAGGATTTCATGCCCTGCTTGCACAGGGATCGCTGCAGAAGGTGGCAGCATCAACCAGCAGATGCAAAGCTTGGCCCTCGAAGCTGCAAAGTGTGTTGAAGTGCCTTGAAGCAGTGTCATTTGGCTTTGCCCCAGGCAACTGTGGCCAAATTGCATTCGCGTCAACGTGAGCTGACCCCCCTGCACATTGCAGCCTTGATCCGAGCATGGCGGGCCAGAATCGATAGGTTGGTGGCTTTCAAGAGTGTTCTTGGACCCTGCGCACTCAGGCGCTTTGCGGTCATGCAGATGTGGTGGACTTCCTGCTGCAACTCGACGCCGATCCAAATCTTGCAGGCGACGCCCGTCATGAGCTTTGCTTATCTTAGCTTGCCTTGCTAACATGTCCATCTCTGAGCGGTCTAGGCATGGAGTGCGCGTGCTACATCTTCATTTGTCAGATGACTTGACAGGCGTGTACAACTACCGAGCGCTGTTTGCTCAGATGCATGGAAGTGACTTTTGGAGCCGAGCAGCATTCAAGCCGAGTCTAAGGTTGCACATAGCTGCGTCTTCCAGCCCTGCGATTGTGCAGCTTCTGCCGCTCGAATCGACATGGTTTAAGTGCCAACTCAGATCCGAAGAAGACCTTCTGAGCAATTCCTGGAATCAAGGCTGGATGCAGCGGCAAGCCCAGCAGCTCTGACGGTCTCTTGGCCGAGCGTGGGTATGTCACGACATGAGCAGAGAGTCTGAGCAGAGTCTGAGGACGAAGCTGACACTCCGCTTCACCTGGCATGCTGCTACCAGCAGCTGCCAACCATCCGCCTCCTGCTAAAGGCCTCTCCCACTGCCGGGTTAGGTTGTATGAAAAGGTTCTTCAGATTGCATGTCGAAAGCTCCAAAGCGCCAGCTCTGCTTGCTGCGCCTAACCCCCTGAAACGACTCTAGGCTGCAGCTGACCCATCCGCCGCGAACAATTTCGGCGTGCAGCACCCAGAGAAAGTGTGAGTTCTGTTCGTCATGCTCCGCATGCGACAGTACTACTGTGCATCGTTTTGCTTCGCTGTTGCCTCGTCTTGCTATGTCATTGTGTACTGCAATTTTTTGCGGTGCATTTGCTGCGTATTGCTGGTTGATGTGACGCAGTGTTGGTGTGCAGGGATGGCCCAGCAATGCACTTCGCCAGGTGACTCCGTTGCACAGCGCCGCAGCCACAGCCGCGCTGGAAGAGTGTGATGTCCGCGAGGTCTGACATTTAGCAGCATGCAGCATGAAGACATGCAAGCAAGCCTGCGATGTTCAATACGGCCCATATGGCTATCTTCAGGCAGTATTTCAGAATTATCTTGGCAGAGTTTAAGAAGTGAACGTGGAAGGTGCATATGCTGGCAGGAACTGCGCAAGCAAGCAAGCAATCCAGTCCGGCCAGGCCAAAGCAGTGCTGCTGCTGTGCAGCAACGGAGCAGACATCAATGCGAGAGATCGGTTGTAGCCTTGGAGTTCAGAAGTGGTTGCAACCTTCTAGAATATGACATGTGCTTGCAACTTGAAGCAGTTGCCGAGATGTTGCGAGCATGACTCTCCACCAAGTGGGCAACACCGTTCGGCGTCTAATTTCGGACATGCTCGCACCGAGGCAGGGCAAGACGCCCGCAGCAGTGGCTCGCATGGCCGGTGCCGCAGCGAGTCTCGTGACATTCTTGCAGGCCCGGTGCTCATCTTGTTTCTCATCTTTCAGCGTCAGTTCACCATGTCGCTTCGGCTCCAGGCTGGGGCTGGATCCCCGCAGCTTGGTTTCCTGCTGCCGGGTTCACCTTCACGCTCAAGCGGCGAGGCATCGAGCAGTTTCTTGCAAGTGGAGGCGTGCCCTCAACCGGACGTTCTTCTGGGCGCACCCTCCCACCTTGGGGCCTATAGGGCCTCGGAGGACTTTGGCACCACCATCTGCCGCTACCAAAAATTGTTCCTGTGTCTTTGGCAAGCCGGAAAGCAGTGGGCCGGTACCGAGAGACTTGGGAGAGAACAAATATTTAAACCGTCTTAACACCACTTTGGCAGAGAACACCTTGAAAGAACAATATTGAACCAAAAGGACACCACTTTGGCAGAGAATCAAAAAAGTGAACCAGAAGGGTTTCCTTGGCAGCTTGGGAGAGAACACAAATTTAAATCAAAAGGCTGTCTTAACACCATAAACAAAAATGACCAAAAGGGGGGTTTCCTGAACACCACTTTGGAGAGAACACAAAAATTGAACCAAGAAGCGTTTCTTCAACACCACTGGGAGAGAACAAAAATTTAAACCAAAATGTCTCAACACCACTTTGGCAGAGAACAGAAAAAAGGGTTTCGTTGACACCAATTTGGAGAGGGTGTTCTTGACACCACTTTGGCAGAACCAAAAAAATGAACTCAAAGGTTTCCTTGACCACTTGGGAGAGAAGACAAATTTGAAGCAAAGAACCAAAAATGAACTAGAAGGTTTTCTTGACCGCTTGAGAGAGAACACAAATTTAAACCAAAGGGCTGTCTTAACACCACTTTGGCAGAAAACGAAAAAATGACCAGGGGGGTTTCCTGAAAATTTGAACCAAAAGGGTTTCTTTAACACCACTTGGGAGAGAACATAAATTTAAACCAAAAGGGTGCCACTTGGCCGAGAACAACACAAAAAAATTGAAGCAAAAGTGTGTTGACACGACTTTGGCAGAGAACCAAAAAATGAACCAAAAGGGGTTTCCTTGGAGAGAACACAATTTGAACCAACAGGCTTTGCTTGTCCTTGTTTAGAATTTGGCAATGCCATCAACAGCAAGCCATTTGCTGAATGCAGCTCTCGGCATATGGTGTTGCTGCAATTGTCCAATTGCTGTGTCGAATGCAGCCCGCTAGTATGATCCTGTCTGCCGCTGAGACAATCCCTGGCGCGATGCCCTGCCAGACACCCGAAACAGACAGTAAAGAACTCGTCCTAGCGTGTCTATCTCCGTGTCAAGCGCGTTGGCTTGGTAAATCTCAGTTTATTCAGCTTGTTGTGGCTTGGTAAATCTCAGCTTACTCAGCTTGTTGTGGCTTAGAGAATTTGAGCCGACTCGGAAAATCTGAGCTCATTCAGCTTGTTGTGGCTTGCTAAATCTCAGCTTAGTCAGCTTGTTGTGGAGTCTCAGCTTCTTCAGCTTGTTGTGGCTTGGTAAATCTCAGCTTGCTCAGCTCACTCGCCTTGTTGTGGCTTGGTAAATCCATGCTTACTCAGCCTGTTGTGGCTTGATAAATCTCAGCTTACTCAGCATGTTGTGGCTTGGTAAATCTCAGCTTACTCAGCTTGATGTGGCTTGGTAAAACTCAGCTTGGCATACGTGAGCTTTCTCAGCTTGTTGTGGCTTGGCAGATTTCAGCTTTTTCAGCTTGTTGTGCTTGGTACATCTCAGCTTACTCAGCGTGTTGTGGCTGAGTAAATCTCAGCTTGTTCAGCTTGTTGTGGCTTGGCAGATCTGGGCCTACTCAAGCTTGTTGTAGTTTACTCGGCTTGTTGTGGCTTGGTCGGTCAATCTCAGCTTACTCAGCTTGTTGTGGCTTGGTAAACCTCAGCTTACTCAGCTTGTTGTGGGTTGGTAAATCTCAGCATACTCAGCTTGTTGTGGCTTCGCAAATCTGAGCTTGCTCATCTTGTTGTGGCTGTTAAATCACAGCTGTACTTAGCCTGTTTTGTCCTGGTAAGTTTTAGCTTACTCAGCTTGTTGTGGGTTCGTAAATTTCAGCTTACAGCTTGTTGTGGCTTGGTAAATCTTAGTTTACCAAGCTTGGTCAGCTTGTTGTGGCTTGGTCAGTTCAGCTTGTTGTTAGTAAATCTCAGCATATTCAACTTTTTGTACCTTGGCAATGTTTGAGCTTACTCAGCTTGTTGTTGCTAGGTAAAGCCGCCCTTTCTCAGCTTGCTTACTCAGCTTGTTGTGGCATGGTAAATTTCAGCTTATTCAGCTTGTTGTGGCTTGGTACATCTCAGCTTACTCAGCTTGTTGTGGTTTGGTAAATCTGACCTTACCTTGCTTACCCACTTTGTCGTGGCTCGGCAAATCTTTTCCAAGCAAATTGTCCGCCATGCTTCTTGTTTGCGAACCTGCTCAAAACATGCCTTGGAAACTCTAAAACGGCACGGCTGAGTCCAAAAGAAGGTGCGGTCAAGTCAGAAAACGCAAGGGTCTCAGTCTGAAAAGGACAACATGCGCCAGATCAGTGGCAAAAACGTGTGATCATGTCAATCCGCGCTTTTGATCCTTTGCTCAGTATCGGAAGCCCCCAAGCTCAAACCGTACATGTCAAGTTTGGCCAGCTTTTTTCTGCTCCGTGTCGCGGAGAGCCCCCAAGCTCAGAGTGTACATCTGGTGGTGATGCCGCTTCCGCTATCCTCCAGTATTGATACCCCCCCGCCCCCTCACCCCCTCTGCCTACCGCCACCCCCACCCCCCGTCACCAACCCCCCCCCCCACTCTGGCCTAACCCTAAACCCATCTAGTGGTTTGGTCCCTGTCCTGTTGGCAGTGTCGGGTCAGTATTTTTGCTCCTGACCAGTCTGGCGCTTTTGCCAAAGTGAAATGTTTTAATGCTGTACTATGCAACTTTTGCAGCTTTGTAGAAGCTGGACGCCAGGAGATAGTACTGAAATTTACAGCGCTTGGAGCCTTTGAACGCTTGAAGGTTTCAATCAGTTACCGTGTAGCCATCTTGAGAGCTGCGCGAATCTCGCAAAGTGGCCTGTTGCAGCAAGGAGAGGGCTGACAGGGTACGATGTTCGGCCAACAAAGTCAGACAATTGGATGGTGTGATGTGCCCCATTTGCAAAACTTAAACGCCACCAGAGGTTTTTCTTCTCTGAAGTTGCAGGGTGCCACGGTATGGAGCGGTGGGAGACCATGAAACTGTGCAGTTGACAGCGCTGTGATTTGGAGTGAATTCCTTCCCGGTTGTCCTCCCAAAAGCTGCAAATGCTTGTCCGAAAGCAGTCGATCCTATATCATCTCCGCATTCTTATTCAAGCAGCAAGCCCCGAAGGAACTCCTTAGATAACTTTTGCCAGCTGATGAGATGAGAGGCTTCTGCAACGCGGGTCAAGCGCTGGGCAAGCGACCTGCTCCTCGAGGTCCGAAACAATGGGGTTTCGATAAGTGTCAGACGCTCCAGACTCCGGACGTTCAGGCCGGGCAGCAGGATCTGGACGGGCACTCCAGCGAGGATCACTGGTTGTGTTGCTACTGTAAGCAGAGTTAATTTTTTGCGAAGAAGCGTTGTGCAAATTACTGTATGCTCTTGAAGGAGCAAAGGCCCTCGTATGCAAAAGAGCTCGAAGAGGAGTTCCTTGCTCAAACACTTTGTACGCGATCATGCCAGGAGAGGGATGGAAGGAAAGTGGTGAGTGTTGGATGTGCGTTTGGAACAAGGAATGTCGTGCTCAAGAAGACAGTGCAGCAGCTTCAGTGTGACTTGATGAATGCGCAGATCAATGTGCAATTGCTGCTGCTCGCCTGAGCAGGGGGGACTTGTTTTGAAGAGTCATATCTCGTCAATGCTTCCCCTCTCTTCAATCCTTTTATCCACCTGAGGGCGGTACAATCCTTTAATTGATGTCTCGTGATGTCTCTCCTCTTTCAGTTCGGGTCGCTTGTTATGCCTTGTTAAGCGTATTGCAGTATATCCAAGCATCTCCGACCATGTTTGGTTAACACGATGTCTTGGTGCCTTAAAGCTGTTACACGCCTCTTGCAAAGTTACGTGATGAGAGACATAGGTGAGACGGGCACCTGGTGCAACCTGAAACACATGAAGACAAGCTGAGTTCCATAATGCGGGGTCTTCATGTGACACTGCCAGTACAAGACAAGATTGAGAAGAAAACATGTGACAGGTGGTACGACAGCAGTGCCACTCATTTTGCATGAACAGATAGGGTTGGAGTTGTACCAATTCTTTTGTTCACAAAGTCGAATGTCGGGTGCGAGATGAGAAGGTTCATGTCTCATTGCATGCGCCACCAAAGCTTACAAAGTTTACAGCGACCGAGACATGCTGTGAGAACTCACGGGCAAGCCACAAGTCAACCTGTTGCAGTAAGGAGAGATTCTCTGGATCTCCAAGCTTCGTCTCCTGGCCCAGTCAGACAAAGTCAGACCTTGCACATGGTGTTCATAAAGCTTAGCAGTCGGAATCTTGACTTCCTGCTGTGCCATAAGGAGAGCTCCTCATCCAAAGGACATGGAGCCTCGGCTCGTCGACATGGAAAGGCGCCTAAGACAGGCCTCATGCGGTGTCGGCTAGCCATGGCTCGCCTAGACGGGCCTAGACCTAGACGCGTTTCAGGCGTGCGACCGCTTCCAAGCATTCGACGAGGAACGCCAGAGCGAGGATCTGAGTTTTCTTGGATGTGCTGTTGATGCCGAGCCTCCGAGCGCCTCACTTGGCATCACTTGGCAAGGCTGGGAGCAGGAGCGTCAGTCCTTGCAGAGTCAGCTCGCGGCAGCCGAAAAATGTTCGCCGTTTGAGCGTGTCCGCGGCTGAAGTCGGGAAGACTCCTGTTTCTCTCCGCGGGCTGCCAAGGCTACTACGGCTACTCTACTCAACGCTGCTACTTAGTGTACCTGCCTCTGCTCCCTCACAAGCCACTTTTAGCCCGGCAACATGTTGTTGTGAGATGCTGTGAGCACGTGTCAATGTTGTGCAAAGTGGGGGAAAAAGCGCTGGAAGAACGTGGAGGCAGGCTCAGCAACCGGGAGACTCGGCGCAGAGTGGAAGCGACTCCAGGTTTCCAGGCAAACGTGTGGAATTGTAAAATCCAACGCCAGACATCGGGGTCAACTTTGGCATGAGCCACACAAGCGCTCATGCAGAGGGGTTACAGTTTCTTGCAGCTTGTGACCACGGACAAATCAGTATCTGTGTCGGTCTTTCGCTCCTTGAGGTTGGCCTCAGATGGGTCCATACTCATGGTTCGTGGTTGATGCTCAAAGCCCTTAGAGCTCTGTACAGTAGGGGGAAGCATGTAAATGCTACGTCTCATGCCAGTCTTGTTTTACTGCCACTACTGACGTACTGCGCAGAACCATACAGAACCTCTAGCTGAAGCACCGCCAGCTGCACAGCTGCACAAGCACTCGGATGTTGGTGGTAGTGTTTTGATCGTACCAAGCATCCAGCGGATGGATCAAGAGGGTGCTGCGAGTTTGCCCATGAGCTCCAGCCCTACAGACTCTTGTTCGTGCCGTTGTTTTACCAAACTGTCCGCGCGCATCCAGCTGCTGGCTAGGCGCCGTGCGCAGCCCGGCTCTGTTGGCGAGCACCTCAATCTTGGGCCTGGCGGTCATTCTGCTCTTCTACTTCCTTAGACGCAAGCGCTCCAAGCCGGCTGAGATTCCGAAAGAGCCTTGAACAAACGCAGAGACAATGGGCTTGAAACATTGAAAAGAGGTGTTTCACGCTGCTGGTTGATAAAGTTCCGATGAAGTAATGATTTAATGCATGGCACCCCCACTTGTAACATGTTTGCGGCTTTCTTCCGTGTACCCAGGATGGCCTATTCGACCTACAGTTGTTGGGCAGGTTCAACGGCGTGACCGGACCAATTTTCATGGGCGTTTGCGGCAAAGTCGATCCTTGGCCAGCAAGCAGGTGAAGCGGTCGTGACCATCCTCCCATCTCGGCAGCCATGAAGCCCTGGTACCCAAAGGTGAATGTATCCAGCAGTGAGAACATCACTGCTGCTCGGCGATCTTTGATTCTTCAGAATTCTTCAGAGTCCTCTTCACATCTGAGACTTCTCGGCAAGGTTGGCGAAGGCTATGGAAGATTATGGGCGGGCAGGGATGCGACCTTTGCCTTGGCCACGCTCTCCCTGAAGCCGGAAGATGTAGCCCGTCCAACGAGTGCCTGCACGAGCAATGGCCCTAAAAAGGGCCTGCTCCAGTTGGAGTTGTTGAACCTGCTTGCATTGGAGGGTTTTCGGTCTCATTCTAGGCAAACGTTCTTGACTTCACCTTGGCGCAGTTCACTGACGACCAGCGAAAGGCACTTGCGGGCTGGTACAAGCACTTCACCTCGAAATATCCCGTCGTCGGCCGCCTTCGGGAGTATGTTGCTTGCCAGATTCGTCATGCTCACAAGAATTTTGGCACTGGCACAAGAATGGCACATGGTGGAGTGTCCTTCGATCGGCTTAGGATGGCTGGGACTTCTCAGAAATCGAGAAGCAGGTTGGTCGGATAGCATTGGTCTCATTGGACTTCCTTCTCAAAGCACTTCCCCTTTTTCTTACCAGCAAGTTGGGGCCGGGCCCCTTCCCAAGCCCCGTCCTCCTCATTGAACCTCCTTCCCAAAGCACTTGCTCCCTTTTCTTTCCAGCAAGTTGCGGCCGGGCCTCCTTCCCAAGCATCCTCCTCCACATTGGACCTCCTTCCCAAAGCACTTCCTCTCTTTCTTTTCTTTCCAGCAAGTTTGGGGCAGGGCCACCTTCCCAAGCCTCCTTCTCTGGGGCCGGGCCTCCTTCCCAAGCCTCCTCCTCCTCCTCATTGGACCTCCTTCCCAAAGCACTTCCACCCTTTTCTTTGCAGCAACCCCCTTTTCAGCAAGTTTGGGGCCGGGCCTCCTTCCCAAGCGTCCTCTTCCTCAAAGCCGGCCCAAAGCTCTTCCGTTTGGGGCCGGGCCTCCTTCCCAAGCCGCCTCCTCTTCATTGGACCTCCTTCCCAGAGCATTTCCTCTAAGCCGCCTCCTTCTCATTGGATCTCTTTCCCAAAGCACTTCCTCCCTTTCCAGCAAGTTTGGGGCAGGGCCTCCTTCCCAAGGCCGGGCCGGGCCTCCTCCCAAGCCCGTTCCTCCTCTTTGGACATCCTTCCCAAAGCACTTCCCCCTTTTTCTTTCCAGCAAGTTTGGTGCCGGGCCTCCTTCCCAAGCGTCCTCTTCTTGACCTCCGTCCCAAAGGACTTCCCCCTTTTCTTTCCAGCAAGTTAGGGGGGGGGGCCTCCTCCCCAAGCCTCCTCCTGCAAAGATCTTCACACTTTTTCTTTCCAAGGGCCTCCTTCCGAAGCCTCCTCTTCCTTATTCTTCCCAACGTTTCTGTCCGCAAGTTTGGGGCCGGCCAGCACTTGCACCCTTTTCTTTCCAGCAAGTTGCGGCCGGGCCTCCTTCCCAAGCATCCTCCTCCTTATTGGACCTCCTTCCCACAGCACTTCCTCTGAGCAAGTTGGGGCCGGGCCTCCTTCCCAAGCCTCCTCCTCCTCCTCCTCATTGGACCTCCTTCCCGAAGCACTTCCACCCATTTCTTTCCAGCAACTTGGGGGCAGTGCCACTTGCCCGCTTCCTCATTGGACCTGCTTCGCAGAGTTTGGGACGGGCGTCCTTTTCTGTCCAGCAAGTTTGGGGCCGGGCCTCCTTCCCAGGACCTCCTTCCCAAAGCTCTTCCGTTTGGGGCCGAGCCTCCTTCCCAAGCCGCCTCCTCTTCATTGGACCTCCTTCCCAAAGCATTTCCTCTGTTTTTCCAGCAGATGTTGCCAATGTTGATTTTGCATCTCATGGCAGACATGGTCGTGAGATGTCGCGAGTGGCCCTGAGGCAGAGAAAGAAACTCCGTTCGGCCTGGGAAAGGAGCAGAAGGGAGCCACAGCAGCCACCGGTCCAGACGAGCCGGTCCTGCTGAGACCTGGCGACAAGGCCGGTTACGTGGGTCAAAACAGGGACAGCAAAGAGTAGTCCTTCCCACGCCGCAAGGTGAAGCTGCAGGGCTTGGATGACAAGCTAGATGGGAAGATTGGTGTGCTCAAAAAGCTCGATGCTGCCACTGGGAAGTTCGAGGTTGCGCTGGTGGACGAGGCCTCTGTGCTAAGGTTAGTAGCAGGGTACGCGGCCCACCGCAACTTCAGGCATGGCGACTGAGTGATGACGTGGAACCCTGCAGCCCGGAAGCCTCCAAGGGCGCAGAGCCCAAAATGCCGCCCGAAGGCTCGCAAAGCTCCCAGGCCCTGGCTCTGGACCCTCAGCACAAAGCCGCCAAGGCATCCAAAACAAAGCTCATGGGGGATCCACTTGGGCTTCCCTTTCGGGGGTCCAGAGGGGGACAAAAGTTTGGGTGGAAAACGGTCATAAACGCAAATACGGGCTGCAAAGCAGGTCGGGGTCCATAGAGGTCCATAGGGGTCCCTATGTCCGCATCTGTAGCGTGTCCATGCAGGGTCATAGGAAGCCTAAGTTTGGTGGCCACTAAGGCAAGAAACCGGTTGGGATACTTCAAGCTTGGTGGCTACTACGGCAAGAGACCGGTTGAGATACCTCACGGTTGGTGGCCACCAAGGCAAGAATCCGGTTGAGGCAAGAACGTGGGTGGGATATCGCAAGTTTGGTAAGGTTATATGGGGCATGAACTAGGGTGCATGGGGGTCCGTATCAGGTCCATAGGAGGTTCACCAGGCACCGGACCAAAAATAGGGCGCCGTTTGGCCACCGGGTAATGTTGCACCCGCTTTAGTGGATGGGACCGCTATTATGCGATGTTCCGAAAATCTTATACAGAACCCCCCATTGATTAGGGTGGTCCTCAATTATGCGATGTTGCCGGGCCGGGGATGAAGGGCAGGGGGCCGGGGAGCCAAAAACAAAAAAAGTTTTGAATAAGAAACTCCGGAATTTGTTGGTGTCCAGCTTTATTTAAATTCCTTTTTGAAATTTCATTACGAAACAGGCCCCCAAACAATTTTCCAAGGGAGTAGCCCACGAGCTGCCGTGATTCGCTTTAGCAAATTGTTTCGGTGGTCCGCATTAATCCGTAGCCCCCCTGGCCAGGGAGCTACAAAGCCTGGAAAGCTTAGACTCTCAAGCTTCAAGGCTTCCCCTCGACCCTCGACCCCCAGCCGCCCTACCCCCAGGCCCCGTCCCAGACCCCAGCCCGCACTATTCAGGATCCCCGAAAACCCCAAAATTGTTGGGGGGGGGGGCCCACACACTAAAGCCAGTCCAACATTACAGGGCAGCCAAGGAGGGGGACAAGGGAGGCGAGTTGTCGTTTCTTACCCCAGTCGCCTTTGGGCCTGAGTGCTCGGTGGATTATGTAGGGATGAACAGAAAATAAACGCCAACAGATCTCGTGTTTTGACCGCGAGCCATGCGCTGAACTGTCCAGCACGCAAGGACTCATCGGTCTTGGTCAAGCCCAACCAGATTTCGAAGATTTGAGTGTCCACTAGTTGTGGAAGCGGTTGTGATTCAGACAAAATTGCTTCTTGTTGCAACCATCCGTCGCTGTCATAGCTGTCATCACTGTCAGCCGCGAGCTGCACCGCAGTCTGGTGACAAAGACACGTGGAGAAATGTTGACATGCTTCAGGTTCTGCATGCAAAAGACAAGGAGCATCTTTTGAAAGCTTGGCATAGGAGTTGCCTTTGCTGGTACTTTATGGAAGCTCTCAAGCCAGAAGGGCTCACAAAAAAGGTCACAAGTGCCGTCTCTGGTGGCCTTAGTCTGTAGTGAGCTAGTGCAATGTCCCTGGCATGGACCCTGTATGCCGCAGAAGGAGCAATCCTGGCATTTGTGGTCTTGTTGTCGTTTTGCTTCACGAAGAGACTGCTCTGCATCTCTTGCCAGGCACTTGTTGCAGCATTATTGCTTGGAGGCTTTGAGGCATTGCGGGGCTCGAACTTACATCTGGGCCAGCTGACGTACGACACATCTGAAGTAGTTGGCCGCACTAGTATGCGAGCGGCTGTCTACACAGTGGGAGAAGGTGTCGGCTGGAAGATGGCGGATATACCAGTTCCCCATCATTCCGACTTTTCGGTCTTGATTCAAGTGAAATCTGTGGCGCTGAACCCATCCAACTTTAAGCATCCAATGATTACTGCAACTTGGCCTTTCGTGAGACACTTGCGCAGAGACTGGCCCATCGGGTACGATGTGTCGGGCGTGGTGCTTTCAGTAGGCACTTCGAGCCTGTGTGATGTGAAGGTTGGTGAGAAGGTCTGGGGCATCTCAATCGGTGTGGCTGGCGAGTTCGCCGTGTTGCCGTGCTTTTTGACCGTGCCAATACCTGGCAAGCTCAGCTTTGACGAAGCTGCGGGTCTTGGAGTGGCAGGGCTTACCACATTGATGGGCTATGAGCGGGGTGGGCTTGGCCCGAATCATAACGTCCTCGTGGTTGGTGCATCAGGCGGTTGTGGCCAGTTCGGGGTCATGCTGGCAGGTGCCATTGGGGCAAAGGTCACTGGGATTTGTGGAGGTCATAATGCCGACTTTGTCCAACAGTTGCATGCCAATGTCGATGCTGTCGTGGACTACAAGCAGCCTTCCCAGATGGATGGATTGATGTCGAAAGGTCGATACTTCGATGTAATTTACGACACTGTCACAAGCAACGCCCCAGAAGATCCCGACTATGAGCCCATGCTGGGGCAACTGCGGAGAGCCAATGGGACTTACCTTGCCATTGGACCTTGCCCCCAACCGTTAGACCAGTTGCGCGGCTCTTTGGACAGCTTAACTCGCCCGTTTGGACTGCGATTGCAAAGGGAGGGCTACGACTGGTTCTTGCTGGTACCAACAAAGACGCGAATGCAGAAGCTGAATAGCTTTTTTGACTCTGGTAAATTGAAGGAAGTGCCAGTCGACTCCAGATTTGACGTGCTTCAGTCTAGCGAGGCAATCGTGCAGGCAATGGATAGGCAGAAAAGCCGAAGAGCTGTGGGCAAGATTCTGCTGACCTTTGGTCATTGAGTCCATCTCCACGATCTGGGGCCGGAATGCCCCGAGAGCATCATCTTCCGTATGCTCGAATGATGGCTTTCTTTGTGGAGTCCTTGCTGAAGAACTGGCCTGCATCACCTGCATCCAAAGTACAAGTGCATCGACATCAAGATCTTTGGCGCACGTTGAGGGGTGGGCTTCGTGTTTGCACTGTCAACTGCTTAGCTTTCTCTCTTATATCGATGAAGCAATCTAGTCGGCCCTGGAGAAGTTGCAGCTGACAAAGAGTCGGGTGACCGCGACCTCTTTGATGGCCTCTCCGGATCTCACTTCCTTCGTAACTTGTTGCGAATGCCTGGTCGCAGGGGACGAGGTAACTGTCAGACTGTCTCTCTCCGCCTCGCTCTCTCTCTCTCTCTCCCGCTCTCTCTCTCTCTCTTTCTTTCTGTCCTTCTCTTTACCTTTTCCCTCATTGAAATCTTCAGGAGGTTGGATCCAGAGGCTAATCTTGTTAGACGAATCGGATGCTCCCCTCAAGGCGCCCATCGGGAGTAAACTGAAGTCGATTGCCTGCCTGACCAGAATCAGAGCGCAATGGCCATTGTCCGTGCGCTCCCCCATTCTCCACACACTGTTGGGCTTTGTGTTGTTGGCGGCGGAGCTGCTGGGTTCTATGCTGCCATTTCAAGCGCCGAACGGGTTGCCACGACACAGCGACGAATAGGGGAGATCCTGATCGTCGAGAAGTCCGACTCACTGCTTCGTAAGGTCAGCATCTCAGGTGGAGGTCGCTGCAATGTTACGCATGATCCCGTGGCTTTACCGGCTTTGATTCAGAGCAGCTACCCGCGAGGCTCAGAGCTCATGGCTCATCTTGCCAGGCGACATAGTGCTGCTCATGTTACCCAGTGGTTTCAATCGAAAGGTGTTCAGCTGAAAACAGAATCGGATGGAAGAGTGTTTCCTCTGTCAGACAAGTCTGAAACCATTGTGGACTGTTTGGTGTCAACAGCGGAGTCGCTTGGCATCAGGATGCTCTTGGGAGCCCGTGTGTGCGCCTTGCGGAAAGTATCCGTGGAGCCCCCATTCACGCAATTCTCCCTTGAGATAGAGACGGAGTCTGCGCAGTGTGCCGTTCTTTGCCGCCGGGCCATCTTGTGCATGGGCTCGGCCCAAAAGCGCTCGGTACAGAAACTGCTTCAAGATGCTGGTGCCAAAGTGCGACCTGTCGCTCCCTCGCTGTTCTCCGTGCTCACCCGGTCGCCTGACCTTGCTGGCTTGCAGGGGCTGTCTGTGCCAGATGCTGCCATTGAAATTGTTGGCGAGCATCTTCCATCTCTTCCTCCGATTCGTGGAGCAGTTCTCATCACCCACGAGGGCTTATCTGGACCCGGTATTCTGCGCCTGTCAGCTTGGGGGGCCTTTGCTCTCAAAGAGGTCGGGTACCGGGCCAAACTGCGACTCAACTGGGTGCCCTTCTTACGGTCCCCAGATGACGCTGCAGAGGCAATACTCGCTGTCCCATCGGGTCGTGAGAACCGACCCCCGGTGCGACGGAAGCCGCTTGGAGATGTGTCCCCTTGGCCACGGCGACTGCCTGCCCGTCTTTGGGGACGGCTGCTCCAGAAGCTGGAAGCAGAAGAAGGCAGCAGCAACTTCAGACCCTTCGTGCGACAGTACAAGGTAGACGGCTTGCCGCTCAGACAGTGGCCCTGGGCTGTCTTTGGATGTCCCGAAGCCAGCAAGTTGCTTGCAACGACACTTTGGAACCACCTGACGGTGCACGAGGTGGAGGTGCAAGGCCGTCGTTTGAACAAGGAGGAGTTTGTCACCGCAGGTGGGGTGGATGTGCGAGAGCTGGATTGGGACAGAATGGAGCTCAGATCACATCCAGGTCTGCACTTCGCAGGTGAGCTCTTGGATGTGGATGGCATCACCGGCGGGTTCAACTTCCAAGGCTGCTGGTCAAGCGGACACGCAGCTGGGGTTGCAGCCGCCGATGCTCTTCAGGGCACAGGACTTGGAGCTTGATCTGCCCATTGACCCACGTGGACACACTGATCGGAACTGGACGGACCTGGCCTGACACGAGAACATGCGGGCATTGTGAGGCCATGGACAGTAAGCTTTTGTCCTTGTCATTCTGGCTGTCCTGCCAATGTCCCAACATCCGCGGAGCCCAGCGAAGTTTGTAGCCACTGCCCGTTTGATGTGCCATGCTTCTTTAAAGCAATGATGAGACGTGATGAGCATGCCCGTGTCATGTCTGGTCAGGTGCTTCAGCCGTGAGCCTGGCAAAGCCTGACACCTCCATGGACGAGGTCCTGAACTTGAGTAGCCCACTGACACAGCATATTCGACAGACTCGACCTGTAGCATCTGCAGGACGTCCACAGCAGTGCCGGCACCTAAGCCTAAGGGCAGAGCTGTTGCCACCGGAGTACTGTAGACTCTAGACATCCGAAGCTTGATGTGTTTGTTGTTCATGTGCTGATAATCTGGGCATGTTGGTACGCAAAATGCTTCCCTTACTTTGAGTTGTCTCGCGTGCCATGATATGAGTTCTATGGGCCATTTGACAGCCAAGCTCTGCCCTAGATTTGTCACAGATTGCCTTGGCAAGCCCCTGGCGGCAGCATGACTTTGGCTGCCCGCCTCTGCCGGGGCCATGTCTTCCGGAGGCCAGTTGTGCTGCGGCAGGTAACTCGCGGCATGGCCCTCCACTGGCGACACGGAGGTACGCCTTCGGGAGTGGGCATCAGCGGCAGCCGCTCTCCCCATGACCTCCTGTCCGAGCTCAGCGGCATCTTTGCCAAAGAGGGCATCACGACCCTTTCGTCTCTGTCAGCCAGCTGGTTTGCCAGGGCTGACCAGAACGTCTCAAAGGGTTTGGACCCGCAGGAGTTCAGGGAGACCATGGCCTCGGTCGGCTTGAAGCTAAGTGATTCAGAGAGCGAGTCTCTGTTTGCGCACTTCGACACAGACAAGTCTGGCATCATCACCTACGGTGAGTTTGCCAAAGGACTGCAAGGAGACATGCCCGCATTCTCAGCCTCCTTGGCCTTTATGCATCAGCACACGGGGCACTTTCCATCAAACCAGGAGAGGCTACGGGCTGCAAGGCCCACGTTTGATGAGTCCGAGACACACGAGTGGCTGGAGTCCCTCGATGCCGTTGTGCAGAATTTGGGGACAACACGCGCTCGGTTCCTCATGCACGAGCTCATGGAAGAGGCAGCGCGCCTCGGGGTGCATATCTCGCAGCCGGTGGTCACGCCCATGATCAACTCCATTCCCACCTCTGCTGAGCCCCAGTACCCTGGAGATCGGGCAATGGAGGATCGCCTTTCAAACATCATCCGCTGGAATGCAGCCGTCATGGTCAGCGATGCCAATCGGCGAGGTGGCGGGGTTGGTGGACACATCGGCACTTTCGCATCAATTTGCGATGTGGTCGAGGTTGGTATGAATCATTTCTTCCGAGGCAAAGACTATGGTAATGGCAGAGGTGACAGTGTGTGGATGCAAGGGCACGCAGCTCCAGGCGCCTACTCAAGAGCTTTTGTTGAGGGCCGTCTCACGATCGACCAGGTGATGAATTTCCGACGCGAAGTCGCAGGCAATGGTGTCTCCAGCTATCCGCACCCTCGTTTGATGCCGCATTTCTGGGAGAATCCTACAGTTTCCATGGGGCTGGGACCTCTGGGTGCCGTTTACCAGGCACGTTTCTTCCGGTACCTTCATCTGAGAGGCCTTGCAGACACTTCGAAGAGCAGGGTCTGGGCCTTTGTGGGCGACGGAGAGATGGATGAGCCCGAGTCGATCACGGCCATCTCAGTGGCTGGTCGTGAGCGCCTCAACAACATGATCTTCATCGTGAACTGCAACTACCAGCGCCTGGACGGTCCGGTGCGCGGAAATTCAAAGGTCATGCAGGAGTACGAGGGGACTTTCCGCGGAGCTGGCTTCGACGTCATCAAGCTTATCTGGGGAGGCAAGTTCAACGAACTCATCGAACAGGACCACGATGGCAAGCTCATCGAGGCCTGCTGGAATGCATCCATCCAATGCACTGAGCTGTTCCAGTTGCTCTTTCTCGCTCGCTCTCTCTCTCTCTCTCTCTGTGTCTCTCTGTCTCTCTGTCTCAATCTCTCCTCTTTATGTCTCCCTGTCTCTGTGTCTCTCTCTGTCGCTCTCTGTCTCTGTCTATCTCTGTCTGTCTCTGTCGCTGTCTGTCTCTGTCTGTCTCTGTCTGTCTCTCTCTGTCTCTCTCTGTGTCTCTCTGTCTCTCTCTGTCTCTCTGTCTCTCTGTCTCTCTGTCTCTCTGTCTCTCTGTCTCTCTGTCTCTCTGTCTCTCTGTCTCTCTGTCTCTCTGTCTCTCTCTCTATCTGTCTCTCTCTGTCTCTCTGTCTCTCGCTCTCTCTCTTGCCATTGCTTTCGCGCCATCTCTCCACATTTGCCTGTCCGGTTGCCTTCCTGCCTGCCTGTCTTCATGTCTGTCTGGTTGCTTCTTGCTAGCTCGCTTGCTTGCTTCTTTGCTTGTTTGCCTGTTTGCTTGTTTGTTGATCATGCATGCATCTGTCTGTCAACTTGCTCCATCCCGTATGTTGCATCTCGTTCAGATACCGCATTGGCATGTTCCTACTTCATTGTTTGTGTCAGGCGCTGGAGGCCACTGTAGATGGCGATTGTCAGCGCCTTCATGCCAAGGCACCGTTTCCATGTTGAAGGAAGCATCGTGTTGCCAGTTGTACGTGCATGTCGGCAGTACCTTGTCCATAGCAGCGTGTGCATGTGACGGCTCAAGGCGGATGGTGCTCTGATCCGAAAGGACTGCCACAACATCCGCGGTCTGTCCACAAATGCAGCATTCTGTGACAAGAACCCATCTTTCACAGGACATCTTTGAGAAGCACGGGCTGCTGGACCGCGTAGCTCACTGGAGTGACGCAGAACTGCTCGAGGCCAGATTCTAATGCCAGCGTCGTGCATCAGCTCCGCCTGCCGTTACTGCATCTGCCGAAGCATGTGTGTTCCGCGCTGTGTGGACGTGTCTTTGCAAGGCTTTCCAGACCCCTGGCGGGCATGACCACTCCAAGATCTACGCAGCTTTTTCTCAGGCAGGGATTCTGCTATGGGACCTGGCTGTGGACTTCCATGATTCTCCGCTGTGTATGACATGACGCGCAGACACAAGCAAGACTCGTTTCTCTTCTCCGCCAGCCCCAGGCAGAGAAGAATTCGGAGATGGGAGGTCGACCCACCGTACCTTGGCCTCCAAAGCTCAGCCATTTGACAGCCCAATTTTGTTGCTTCCACGATTGCAGCTGCCCTGACCGCAATGTGACTCGACTGCAATGGAGCTTGTGTTCTGAGGTCATTCTCGTCAAGACCCTCAAGGTGCTGCGCAGAGTTGCCTGCATCAGGTTTTTTTGCCAACTGATGCTTACCTGGGCACCCTACCTGTTGCAAGGGCTACAGCCTGCAAACTTTCCTGGGAAGAAACACGGTTCACCAGAAGAAGATGATGTCGGACTCCGACATGCTCACTTCTCAGTCCGTATGAAGCTACCAATACCCTGCTCACGATCGGCTGAGAAACAGCAGACTCGTGCTACTGACTGAGGAAGGCTTATCGCACGATGCCCAGCTTCTCTGGATCCGATACAGCTGGCTCGCCTTAGAGCTTAGCTGTCTTGATTGCTGGAAGCTGAGGCGATGCCATGGGCATTCCAAAAACTGATGAGCAGCTGGTAAAAGCTGATGTCTGACGCTCATCACAGGGCTCCTTCCAGGATGAACAGCTTTTACGCATCCCCCTGCCCCAGGCGGAGAATTTCTTCGCACTAAAGGAGGACTCCCCAGAGGCCCCATACATGACATGTCCCGGACAAGCGTATGTTTACAGAACCACGTGTGCTTTGCTACTGGGCGGGTCTATTTAATCACATTAGCTAAAAGATGCAAGGGCGCGCCACTTCCCGATAACCGTTGGCCGTTTTGCAGGTCAAGTACCTGAAGGAGCGGCGACAGGCTCTCGGGGGCTTTCTTCCGTTGCGATCGCCGGCGAAGGTGCTTTGTCTGACCATGTCTGAGCGAGTTGCGTGTAGATTCATGCGCATACTGCATTCAAGAGCACGCCAAGGTGTCCGCGCTGGTCGATATCCCCAAGCACGATGTTTACGACATGTTTGACACAGGACCTGTTGCATCCCTGATGGGACCATGTCATGTCTACATTGCAAAAGCTGGTTCTTTGGAGCTCACGGAAGTTGTCTTTTACCAATCCCATTGCTTTTGGGTCAACGGACACCTAATGACCCCATGCCCCTGTCGATATCGCCTTCATGGCTCCCGCCCCTTCTGGCTCTTCTCGACTTGGAGACTTGGCACCTGGCAGGATCCAAAGGAAGAGAGATCAGCACTACCATGTGCTTCGCACAGGTCCTGAGAAAGATGATGCAGGCCAGCTCGTTGCAATGACTTGGCATAGGGGCTGCCCTCGTGCGAATCCTCTGAACCATAAGCTGTTGTGCTGTACTCGGGTACCTGTGGTCTGAATGCCGGCCTTGCGGACTGTCTTACTGTTGGAAAGGCTGGCGAATTCGGTCAGCGAGTCACGTTGATGGTCACCGATGAGCCTGATGCTAAGAGAAATGAGATCGCAGGAATGGGAAGCTCTAAGATGCAGAATGTGCGAATGAAGCGGTTCAATAAAGTTGTCGCCCGTTTTTCATAGTCAAACTACTTTATTTACTGGACGCATCGCTCAATTTGGACAGCCAGAGCTAATTAGTGGACATGTCGCACGATTTGGACAGCCAAAGCTTCTTCGATTTGGATAGCCAGAGCTACTTACTATAGTTTGGATAGCCAAACCTACTCTAGTAAATGGGCTGCCCGAGTTGGATAGGCCTAGAAAGCAAAACATACTCTTTCCTAAATGTGTGTCCGTTTTAGACAGCCAATGCCCATTGCTGAATCTGTCGCTGCATCTGGATAGCAAAGGCTGCTTTACGAAATGTGTCCGATTTGGATAGCCAGAACTACTTTGCTAAATGCGTCGCCCGATCTAGATAGACAACTCTAGGATGCTAGGGTGTCACCCGGTTCGAGTAGTGAAAGCTACTTTAAAGTGTATCTTCGTGATACCCTACTTGCGGTGCAGGTGAGAGAGCCATATACTGTAGCTAAATTTTGATGGTGCTTTTGCAGTTGAGGTCACGAACCTTTGGAATCGACGCATTCTTCCCGATCTTCAAAATTCATGCACCCTTTGGGCAGAACTACACGCCCGTCGATGCAGACCAGGCGCCCTGATCGGGAGAGGATTGAGCCGAAACCTCTGCCGTACCTGGTTGGAGCAGGTCATGAAGTATGCTGAAGCCCCCAATGGGCAGATTCTGCAAGAAGGCATTAGTCATGGCCTCAGCTTCTCTTTGCACTTGGAGTCCCTTTGGCAAGACAGAAGGGGAATGTTATCAGAGACTGGAGCTCGGATGTCACGGCGCTTACCAATTGAGGCCCTGGGATGTAAGGGTTGCAAAGCCACTCCTCCCTACTCTCCCACACTGTGTTGTAGGATGGATGGTATTGGGGGTAGGAAAGCAGCCTGTACGAAAGCTCAAGTACTGCTGAGGTGAGGGCGGCGCCATCATGACCTGGATTGCCTCTGCAACCTCCTATTCTTCCCAGCATGCACCAACGCTCCCATTTCTGATCTACTACTCAATGCCTCTTGCTGCATTTGCGATGTGTCCGAACTCGGGAGAACTGCCCAATCAGCAAATATGCCCATTTGCCAAGGTTCGGGTTTCAGCGTGCTGCTCTGCTGCAACCGAAGTAGGGAAGCCTGCATCTCCGGCCTAGCCGTGCGAAGGGTTTTGGTCCAAATCGTGATCTTAAGTACTGATCCGCCTTGTTGGCTCAGCTGCGCAAGGTCGGTGACAGCATCTGGCAAGCCGCGGATGCACGAGCACGTGGCTTCCTCATTGGTGCGACGTACGGTCGGACCACCTTGAACGGTGAAGGATTGCAGCATCAGGACAGCACATCTTCGATTCTTACAGCACATTTCCGAACAAACCGAGTTGTAGGCCTGACATGGGTTTTGCACGGTGGCACAGTGCAAGCAGCCTTTCGCCACGCATGCGTGCAGTCAACAAGAATGAGCGTCGCGACGAGGATGGACATTCCCTTCTCATCGCGCACACCTGTCCTGCCACCGTGCTGCACAGTGGAAGCATGTGGAAGCAGTCGAAGAGTACTTTAGAGAGACGGCTGAAGACAACCTCCTATGAGAAGAGCGAGAGCCCCACTCGTTCATGCTTCAGTCTCGTTGCAGCTGTGTTGGCTGTGCAGCTCAGCACCTTGGACTCCTTGAACTTGAGCCAAGCCGTCCTGGGCAAAGCATCCACTATCTCGACCGTTGCCAGTGCCACACCTGTCCCATCTAGATCAGGCAACTGACTTCCAGCCACGCTTTAGCAACAAGCTAGTCCGCGTTGAGGTTTTCGAATGCTCCGAAGTCCGTAGCCTGTAAATCGAACATGTCAGCGAGAACATCTTCGGATTCCCGGATGTCACATCTATAGCCAACAGGATTGACAGGCCTTAAATGTGCTATGTTCATGTAGCTGACAAGCGCCCTGGCGACTGCCGACATGCCGGCAACAAGGCCATGCTGGTTAGTGTCGAAGGTTCAGCTTTGTCACATCCGAGCAGATGCTCTCTTGCGGCAGTTCGTGCAGACTCAGATGGTGTGAGAGACCCTTTGAGAGGTCGATTGCGGACCTGTTTTATGCGCATGATCAATATATTCAACAGATACAGCACTATTATATGCAGCGTCTGCTAGAATATGAAATAAAATAAGGCATAAGTCTGGATTTTAGGACCTATGGCATCCCAGGTGCCGGAGTTTTGATGTAATTTGAATCTTCGAGCCTGCCTGAGTTTTTGTGACCTGGTCCTTTCAGAGTTGATTTGAAAGTTCGAGCCGGCTCGAAGTTGCCCGAAAAAGCCTCAAACGTCACCCTAGGCCTTATAGATGCTGTTCTTTTCTCGAGCAGGCTTGAGTTTTAGTGACCTTCTGCATTAAACGTTTTTTCATGTGTATAGAAAAGCGAAATTGCTGCATGAAAGGCGAACTGCCGATATGACATGAACTGCATTCGCATCTAGAACCAAATTATCGATTTCTTCGGTTTGACCGGACATAGTTCGTTTGGGATATGGAAGCTTGCACAAAGCCTTTTTGGCATCGGAGTTGCGTTGAAAGTAATGTTTCTTCCTCCAAACCACGCTGCTCATGAAGCAAAGTGCTTCAACTATCTTCAAGCAGTCTTTTTTGAGTCGAGAGCAGTCGAAATGTCCCAGAATTTTGAACATTGAAACTAGTCTAAAGTTTTCGGATAAGACCCCGACTTCTTGGGCCTTGTCTGAAGATCTAGATTCCGAACGCCTTCCATTCGATGAATTCTCTAGCAAACTCTCCCTAACCGACATGGCCCCTCCATCTTGGTCTGCCCGCAGAAATCCCCAAATCAGTGAGGAATCAAGCTTCAGGAGTTTTCAGGGGCTTGAAGTTTGAATCAGCCCGCGCTGTTTTTCAGATTTGTCGCAAGGCCAGTAATGAAAGTCTTCATTGTGTTTACTGGGAACACCGCCTTGAAGAAGAACTCAGTCGGTGCATTTTTTGAGGTTTCCCCCCGTGCAGCTCATGAGTCCCAGCAGTTGTAGCTGAGCAACGTGTGATGCCAACACAGCGACAGGCAATTGCAAACTTGACGTTGTGTGTAAGTATCTAGGCCAGCTTCAATGAAGAAACAGGATTCGATGGATCTGATTCAGGTCCCCACCGATGCATGATTAGATCCTACGAAAGCGAAAGATTCCAAAGCTGCAACAAGCTTGCAGTCGGACGGATTTCCAATCAGGTCTACTCAAGTGCAGCATCCAATTTAGAGCGACTTAGAAGTCACGAAGAAAAAAAGAGGGACAGTGTTGCGATGCAGGCAGCTGCAGGAGCTCGTGGCGAGCACCGCGCAGCAGTTGGGTCGCTCTTCCGAGGATGCCAAGCCTTACCTGACCATGCTGGAGGAGAGCGGAAGAACGTGGGGACATATTGGGGACACATGGGCACCATCCGAGTGCTCCCATGCGCTCAGCACAAACCAAAGCCCGCGGCAAGGAATCTTAAAAGCAAATGCAACCGACCTGCCGTCTTAGCTTGGTTTTGACTGTCTCGTACCATCCAATGGGCTTTGAAAGTTCTCCCTTTACTCCTCATTAATCACTCTTTGGCCGCGACAGGAGAACTGGTATGACACAGTGGACAGCCTCAGGACGTGGATGTTGAAGCTTGTGCTGCTTGCGGCATCTTGCAGGTCTGTCGCAACCGCCTTTGAACCCTGCAGGACGGTGGAGGTATCAGACTTGAGTACCCTTGGCCTGCCATTGAGATTCGTTAGGGAGTTGCTGAACTTGGCGAAGAGCAAAGGCGATCCACAAAGGCCGACACAACCGGCTACGCCGGCTCACCCGCCTTCACACCCGCCTCCACATGCAAATGAAAGCAGTGCCAAGGCCAGAGGCAAGGGCAAGGAGGGAAAGGAGTCGAAGGGAAAGCCAAGCCAAAGCTTGCTTCCCAAGCCACCAGCTGTGCCGCATGTGCCGTCTTCGCCATCTTCGCCATCTTCGGCCAAAGGACAAGGCAAGGCGAAGGATGCCAAGGTCGTGCCGCCACGTCTGCATCAGCACAAGGTCTTCTTGAACTCCTGGAAGTTTGATCAAAAGTTTGGTCTGAATGGTCGCATCATTGGTCAGCAAGGGCGAAATGTAAAGTGGATTCAGGCAGAGACCGGTGTGTCGATTGGCCTTGCTGGAAGAGGCTCTGGACTACCTGAAAGTGCTCAGTCTGAAGGCCTCCACGTACTGCTACAGAGCGAAAGTCGTCAGAGTCTGGACCAGGCCAAGCGTTTGACGGACGAGCTGGTTGAGACAGTGAATGAGCAGTACGCCGCCTGGAAGGCGGGAAGCGGAGCTTCGGCATGGCAGGAGGACAAAAACAAAAAGAGGAGCCAGCCATACTAAGAGGACAACAGTGCTGCCCTTCGCCCTTCGCAGCCTGTGCGGAACAAGCTAACAAGCTCCAAGAGATCAAGTTCTGCTCGTGGCTATTACGGCTATCAGGGCCATGCCAATGTGCTCAAGATGCTCGGGTCAGACCAGACTATTTGCATCTGCTCGCTGCGGGCAAAATCGGGGTCACAGACCTTCTCTTGCTGTAGTCCATTCCTGAAGGTCTGGAAGTTTGTCGGAGTTCCCCATAGGCCGCTCTTTGGCATGCAGCCTGTCGGCATCTCAGGCTGTAAAAGGCTATGACCCGGCATTTGGCTACGAGATGGCTGCGATCATCGAGAACGGTGTGAAAGAGATGTGGGGCGAGGTGGCTGTAGATCAAGATTCTCAAGACATGTGGTCTAGGCTGCACCGGGTGCACTGTGTTGGATGACAGGACAAGGATGTCATCTACTACGTGACAGCCTACAATGAGAACTTTGCGATGCCGGAGAAGCCCGAGGCAACAGCTTCTAAATGAAGGGAAGAGTGACCGTGTATTGTACGTAGCTATTTGCGAGAGTACGTACTGAGTACGACTGACACAACAGAGTTGTGCTGAGCTGTCCGAAGCTGTGTTCGCCTGCACAGGGTGTGGATGAAGGAATCATCAAGGGCTTGTACAAGTTCGCTGATGCCAAGCCGGCACAGCACAAGGCTTGAATCTTGGATCCTGGGTTTGCATTGACAAACTCTGGAGTTTGAATCTGTTCGGACCTAAGGTACGGGTCATTGGCTCAGGAGCCATCATGAAGCAGGCCTGTGCTCGTGTGGTCAGTGTGATTTCGACCTCCCCCGGCTTTCAAAGTCCAGGCTATGGATGCGATTGACATCCTTGCAGAATATGGCACTCGCCTTACACAACATGGATTCCAGCGCTTTCTTAGCAACGTGGAGATTCACCTCATTCACTGTTCTCGAACTTGGGCAGCTGAGGTGTTGGAGTGGAGCTCTGGAGTGCCACGAGACTCTCGCCTGAACCAGTGCTTGCCGAGCCCCATGCACTCTTCTGTGCTATTTCTGTCTGAGACAGGGCTGTTCTCACTTTGGGGTTGCACTTAGAGTCTAGCGAGTCGAAATTGCCTTCCACGCATCCTGAGCCAAGTGAAAGTTCGTGATGCAACAGGTTATGGCGAGCTTCAGCGTGACGCCATTGCGTGCCAGCGCCTGGAACGCCTCGGCGGGGAGGCCTGAATAGTTCACAAACCTTGACCTACTGAGTTTGCGAGACCACATGCTTGTGTAATCAAGCTGCACATTTTCATTCAAGTCCATGTGCGCGGCGGAACGCTTGACATACGTAAACGTGCGTGCTTGCTACCGATGCAGCTTGCTTCCTGAACATCAGGTTACTGGCGTTTTGCACAGAAAGACACCATGACACCATGTGCTTCCTGAACCGTAGACATGCCCGCAGGCTCCGGTGTCATGGGTGGAGCAATGCCTTGGGGATGGAGAAGTCACTGTGGCCGTGTCAGACAACATGACGGCCCGAGTTTGTGCGACATGAGCTGTGCGGCTGTGCGAATTGAGTTGTGCAAATCTTCGGGCTTCAGCTCATTTCGGACGAAGCGTATTGCTGCGCTCGGCAGGCATATCCAAAGCTCATCGCTCCCTGGGTGGGTGGCGACTTCATCGTGCCCTGGTGACACGAGCATGAAGCACCTTGAAGCACGCGCGCGCGCGTGTGAGTGTCTGGTGCGATCTCGATTTCGGTGTCCAAGGTGCTTGGAGCTGATGGCTTTGGCCGCTCAGACACACGCGAGGCGCTGCGCCGCTTCTTCGAGGTGGACAAGGAACACGCGACTTGGCTCTCTTGGAGGGATTTGGAGGGTCATGATGGTGTCCCCATGTTGGAGAGCGTTCTGCGTAGCTCTTCGGCTTACTCTGACGACTTCGCTGTGAATCTAAGGTTGCAGTTGCTGCTCTGCAGGGCCTTGCGAAGCAAGGAAAGATCTCTGCAGATGTAGTTGCACAAGCGCTGCTCGGAAAGCAAGTGGTGCTGTTTGTGGAGCTTATTTCGGTCTCGATAGTCCGAAACCAAGTGATATGACGTGCCCTGGTCTGGTTGACACTTTGAAGCGGCATGAAGACGATCAAACAGCCAGTTCTTTTGATCTGGAATCCGCTCACTTGCGCCCCACTCCTGTTCACCTCAACTCAAAGATATCCTCCGCACCGTGTGACAAGTGGCCCTTTTGAATTAGTGAAGGCGTGACAAGCTCGGAATCAGCATCGAGCGCAAGGAGACCATGTTCTGATCGTGAGTCGCGAGCTTTGCTGCAGGGCCCGCAGTGCCGTCATTTTTGCTTTGGAGTTCTGTAGTCTGCTGCAAAGCAGGACATTTGCATGGAGACTGTCTGCTGAACAGCACGGCACCTTGGATTCCCCCACTAGTACGTCACGCTGGCGGACTCTCTGTTTTGTGCTTATAATTTGTTGGCCACGACTTGTTTTTGCCCAGGCCTTACCTTTGCATTGATCGTTCCTCGCCATCCGGTGATGCCTTTTTTCTCCATGAGAAAATGGTGGAGACCTGCAGCTTGCACAGCCTCTATGAGGGCAAGCATTTCTAGATTGTCACGTTTTGATAGCAAGCCATGGTTTAATTTGAGGTGCGCAAGTGCTCTTTGAGTCCTGCCACCTGGTGCCGCCTGTATTATAGAGAGATGGGCTCTGGTTGTTGGGGCGTGATCCCTCGCCTTGGCCCTCTGCCCCTCTCTCGTTCCATTTCGGCTCCCCTGTTTTCCACTGATCGGAGCCATCAGTGCAGTCTGCACGGCTTGGCAACTTCTGAGCTTTGAAGCTGAGAGGAGTGCAAAAGCCCTCTATTGATTTGAACCGCGCGAACGAGAGAAAGATCTTGTGCTTCATATCCTGGTCGGCACAGCAACTTGACAACCTTCGGTGGCACAAGTGCCATGTGTGGCACTTGCAGTGAATGAGAAGCCTGTGATCGTCCAAGATAGGTTGCAGGATGCTTAGAATACAGAGCTCTGACAACATCCCCTCGAGCCTGGCAAGGTTCGCCGGGCACCCGCGCTCCGCTGCTTCAACATGACCTCGCAGGTGCGGAGATGGCCTCAGGCGTCAGCGAGGGACCAGGTGCTGTCTTGGGGGCAACTTAAGGATGGCACCAAGCGCCGCGCAATGCTGAGACTGGCTTCGAGGAGACGAACATACTCGCGCATACTCGGGGCGGCCGAGAAAACAATCCAGCGGAGTGTTTGCCCAGTGCTGCAACCGACATAAGCTCTGAGTCTTCTCTTCACTACTTCCCAAGAGTACTCATCATGTTGGGCGAAATATGTCGGCCATACTGCTCCGAATGTTTGATGTTTTCGAATGGAGCCACATATGCTGTATTTTGCGGGATGCCAACCCAAGCCACAGGGGGCAGGTATTTCAGTTTGTGTCTGTCCTCCTGCGCGAATCCGATGCTGTGTGTGGGCACTGGCTATCAGCGTGTTGCGGAGAGCGGTAGCGTGCACACACTGCTGTGCCATCATGGCAGCTCCTGAAAGGTGGGTTGGGCGGGGCTTGCATTTGAATAGCAGCTGGCTCTACCTCCCCTGAGGTTCCTGATTTGAAACCTCAATCGGACACGCTGGGATGATTGCGGGTGTGCCTTGCTCTGTAGCAGCAGATGCTTCCGTGGCTACGCGAGGCGTCCACGGCTTGGCTCCATCACGGCGCTGCTCTGTGCGGAGCTTTTGTGGGGGCATTCTCGTCCCTTTTTAAGTAACTTTTTGTCTGCCTGCACATGTAGAGCGCCCACTTCTTGCCACCAGAGTCCACCAGCCCCCAGGCGGTGGAGCGGCGTTTGTGGTGCCAGGCCAGACCGCTCCACTGGCATGGGCCGGCCGAGACTTTCTTGGTCAAAAACATAGGTAAGCATGATCCAGTCCTGTGCGCCAGCTCAGATCTGCCAAGTCGCTCCGCTGAGAGATCACATTGCTGTACGGGGGAGACGATGTCATGTCGTGCAGTGACGAAGGAGAACCTGCGACCCGGAAGGGCGGGTCGTATGTTCGCCCCACCTACCCACGACTACCTGTCGTGACGCAACAAGAAATCAAGTCGCTGCATCTTGACTCAGAGGATAATCGCCAGCGAAAGCCACGATAGTCTCGGAACAGCGACCTGCCGGGTGATCCAAGAGGGTGTGTTCACTGATCAACAGGGTACAACAAGGAACTTCACAGAACCACACTTCAATGATGCCGCTTTGATGTGCAACACCAGGGGTGACAAGCACGAACCGCCTGTCTGGCTGAAGAACCCAGCACAGTCAGGAGCTGTCATCAGGCATTTCGGTCCCTGTATTCTCCAGTGCAGATAAGCAAAGACCGACACAAGAATCGGGCAAAGGGTGCTCCCAGCTGCAGCTGAGCAGGTGCGCGCCTGGCTACAAGCAAGCCAGCGGCAGTTGGTGAGGCATCTGGGGCTGATGAGATGAGGTCTATTCTTGATGACCTTTCTTCCTTGCTTTTGTTTTTTTAAGGAGGGGAGGGCAGCTTTCTTAAGCTTCAACAGGAAATCCACAGGTTTTCTCCGGAATTGGATACGAAATTCTTTAGTTCATGCATCCTACGTTGATTTGTACTATATATACTGTCCTACATTTGAGTGACCTCCATGTCCCCTCAGGACCAGTAAGAAGAAGTCCCGAAACCGTCTCAAGATTACCCCCACTGCATTCTAGCATGAAATGGGACTGGAACATGCCGAAGCATGCAACAAAGTCCGCGCACAGCACTGGCCAAGAGACCCGTTCGGAGGTTTTCTTTGTGCCTCACTTCACTTCCAACAACCATCACAGACAGACAGAGACGAGAGAACATTTAGGCGCATGCCGCCACAATCCCGTGGCAAAGTTGGCCCCAACAAACTCCATCGAGACTTCAAAAGCGAGGGTGACGCCATATCTTCTCACCAAGATGTCTAGGCACAGCTGCCACAGCTCCCCTCAAAACAGTTTTCTGGAATGCGGCTTCTGCACTTCCAAGTACTATGTTGTAACCTTAACAAGGACAAGAGTCAGCGATTGCCTAGTCAAGTGTCGAGGAAATAAAGGACGTCCGGTGCCTCGTGCCAGGCTACAGCTAGCGCAAGACATGTCGATGTGATGTTCGCAGCCCAGCTGCTTTTGCTGAATTGTCTCCTACGGCATTACCATCACTTACAAGCCAGCTTGAACTGAGACCCCGCATCTCTTCCACAGCAGCCTTGCTGGGTGCCGCAGCACTCGTGGCACGGCGACAGCAGAGAAGGCTCTGACCCTGCTTGACATAGATGCCGGCGGAACATGTTGGAACATTGCGTCGAGCTTTGGCCGAAGAGATCTGCAGTCGACAGTGTCAGGAGCCTAGGTCGCAGCCTCAAGTGCCTTTTGCGTGTGCCGCCCTGGCGAAACCTAGTGCCGCTCGCGTTGCGAGTCCTGACCGATCCGCTACTACAATCGCAAGAACGCAGCAAGAAGTGAGGTTCTGTTGCCATGAACGGGCTCTTCGATGGAATGGAGGACTGGGGCAACCGAGAGACGCTGGCAGTACGGTCCTTCGCCATGCTTACTCCAGAGGCCAACTTAGAAAGGAAACTTCAAGAGCAGCTGCAGAGGCCTGGGCAGATCAAGTGGGCGTCAACGTGCAAGCAAAGGGTTTCATGCGGGGATTTCGTTCTGCACTTCGAGGCGCAATGCGCACGCTGCGCAGATTGAGAAGGGAGCCGAAGACCTCAAGAGGAGGATGGAGGCAGCTGGTGCTGCGGTTCTTAACTTCAAGAAGAGAATGCTGCCAGAGCAGTTGTCAGGAGCAGTTGGAGGTCGAGCGCCGTTTCGAACTTAGCATGGAGGTTGACCACTCTCACATTGCAATTCAGACCTCTGTGCACGTTCACTGTGAGCCGCGTGTTCAACATCCCACTCGTCATGCGAATGGTGTGACATTCACTGGAGGGCACACTCGGATGTCATGGTGAGGTGTGGGAGAAGAACTCAGAATGCAGATCGCGGTCTTGCAGGAGCGCTCGGTCGGGTTGAGCCGGTAGAAGGGGTTATCATTCTGCAAGTCCAGGAGATCTACACGGAAGTCAACGACAAGCTGGAGATGTCTCAGATTGCACAGCAGAAGATGCAGGCCTGCCTGGTGTCGAAGTCAAGGCCACATTGAGTGCAAAGAAGTCTTGACCGCAGGCTAGCCGCAATGAAATGCTTACAGACATAGCTCAGCTCCAAGAGAAACTGACGCTGGGAGCTCAAAGTTTGTGCCAATCCAAGTGATGCTAATGATGCAAGCCAGTGTGCAGCAATCAGCTTAGCCATTTACGGTGATGATGTGATGGTTGGCGAAAAGGCACGCTGATGCTGAAAGCATCCAGAAAGCGGTCAACCTTGAGGCTGATGTCAAGCACAAGGAGGACTCGCCATGAAGGTTTCAATGTCTTCGAACAAGCCAGCAACAGCCCAGCAGAGCGTGACCTTGGCCAGGAGCAGATCATTCGCCTCGAGGAAGAAAAGAGGCGACTGAGGGTGAGCCTCAGGCAGGGTTTCGCAGCACTTGGCCGAATTGACACGAGCTGTGAGAGCCTCACATGTGCGACACGATGTGAGACTTGTAGACTTGCCTTTTCCATTTATCGTGCGTCATCTGACTAACCCCGCTTGCAGGGAGCTTGGCATGCAGGTCAAGGCCGATCCACCCTCCAGTCTAGTACTTGCAAGATGCTCTGGTTTTCACCAGGTACTCAAAGTACGTGAGAAGTCTTTTGCGCTCTGTGACAGGGGGATCGTGAGGTTGCCGAAGCTCAGGACGATGCATGTCGATCTGCGCAAGATTCTACAAGTTCCCCACATGTCCGCAAGTTCTAGAGGAGCATGCAAGTTGCAAGGCTTGAGCCACTCTCCGTTTCAAAGTGTAAGTGTTCCCGACTTCTCAGGAGGGCGCTCTGCAGACGCAGCTGGCCCAAATCGAAGCACAGCACGGGCCTCAAGCTGCGAGAACTTCATTGCGTCTTGCGGATGTCACCCGAACTGGATAGCCAAGAATCTACTGCACCAAAACCTTGGTTAGCACGTCATGGGATGAAACCAGCCACCGCCGAAATCCGTGGCCACGGTGTGTCGCTCTGGATAGCCAAGACAACTTTACTAACTGCGTCGCCCGTGTTGCATGAGCAAGGCTGCTTCGTGAAATGTGCCGTCCCTTTCAGAAGCTTCGTCTTTCACCGTGTCTGCGCTTTCTCAGGCTTGAGGTCACTACCAGAGCCAGCGAGCAGGTGTGGCCCGAATGCTCTTGCTGTATGGTCGTCTAGGAGTTTGCTGGCACTTCGTAGCTTAGGAATTTAGAGCTCAGACACAGCTTTGCCCATGGCGCAGGCTAAAGTTGAGCTGCAGTATGCCAAGGAGCAGATTCAAGGGCTGAACAACAAGGCGACAAGACATGAGTCAAACAAGCTGCGCCATTCTACCCCCAGCCACCCTCGCAGATTAGAATCCACCCGATACACCGGCTCTTTGTCATAGTGGGGTAACATTTTTACATTTTTAAGGGTACTCAAACTCAACAAGGCATGGACATTTAGAATTCTACATGCTATCCCAACCGTGAACTAGGGCTAGGTTCAGCATTCTGGCACTAGTACACCCTGGCCACGTGCCGCAACCTCATCAGGTTGCGGAGCTTGGAAAAGCGCTGCAGGCTGCCCAGCTGAAGGCCTCGCCGTATCGGTCTGGGTGATTGGGGTTTAAACTCAACAAGTGCATTCTTCTTACGTTCTTGGCGCCAGGAGCAGGAGCTCTCACGCCAGCTTCAGGCGCGGCGAAGTCGGGGCAATCACGGCGGATTTTTGCATTTAATATTCTTGTGGGTTCGGCCGTCCTAAACTCCTACCTCAAACTCTAGCTCAAAAGCTGCGAAGACTGTGGCCATTGTGTCAAGTTTGTTGACTGGGGTTCCTTTCAGCGGACATGCATTTGGAGAGACAGATTGAAGCAGGTCGCGTCAAGTTCACAGACTGGGGGTTCTTGTGGGTGGACATGCATTTGGAGATTTTGGCTCTGTCAAGTTACAGAATGGGGCGTAGAGATTCGTATTGCCTTCTTGCCCCTGTGCAGGCCTCCACGGCAGAAGTGCAGCGGCTGCAAAGCGAGCAGAAAGTCTTGGAGGACGAATGGGTTGTAGTGGCATGTCGTGACTCTGATGGTGCATCTTGTATGTGCCGGTGCAAGCGGAATCCAAGACCTCCAAGCTAAAGAGCTGACAAAGGCTGACATCTCCGATGCTCTCCAAAGGGAGCGCAATCTGGAAGTCAGGCTAGCGCAGGCGGCTTTCTTGCAGATGGTGGGTCATGTTGGGTCCCAGACCAAGCACTGGTGGGTTGGCTGCGGTTGGCTGCTGTTTATCATTGTCAGGTGCAAAGCAAGAACCAGTACCTAGAGGACCGGTTGCCGAAGATGGAGGAGGAGAACCAGCGCCTTGGCTTGGTAGGGCGATTTGCCGCGTGATGGAACATATACGTATGTCATAAACGCGATAACATGCGGCAACGAACGCCGACGGGCTGATGCAGTTGTTTCTCTGCCGTATGCTCTGAGCATGCTGTGGCAACGGTAAGGAAGCTCATTCGCCGCATCAGCCTCTTGGAGCAGGTTGCCCAAAACCAGCAGGTCTTCAACTCCAAGCTCTCAGCCGCATGGTCGCATGTGGGACGGAAGATGTCCATGCATGGAAGTTCGATTCGTGCAATGCTCGTGGGTTTGAGATGGGTTCAGGCATCGTATGCGGAGAATGAGAGACTGGCCAATGAGCTCAATCAGCTGGAGGCCATCGTGCCAAATTGTCGTCACAGCATCGTGGGGACATAGGGCGCCAACAACCAGATGCACGTCATGTGCTTGAGACGGCCAGAAAGACCTTTTCCAGTGAGGGCCATTGGAGAGTGAGCTGGGTGCTGCTGCTACTGTTCGTTTGCTTTGCTTGTTGAGGGTTCCTGGATGCTCTGTGATGCCCTGGCCTCTTTGCAGTGAAAAGGCTCCTAGAGGAAACTGGCAAAGCACGGTTTTCACATCAAGCAGACCGAGGGGAGTGTAAGCACAGTGGCACGATGGTGCGTGCTTCTTGCAGAGGCCAACTTCAAGGAAAAGGAGAAAGAGACGACGAAGCTGGCTACCGATCTCGCAATGTTTCAGGCCTTTTCACAGCCTCTGCCGGGGGTGCTGTGAACTGCTGCTGTAAGATTCTGCTCCCTTCCGCTCCACCTACGAGTGTTTGGAAGTATGGTCACATGCGCTAACGACGCGAGAATCCTGCGTGGAATCGTGTTCCAGGAGCGCGCCCGGGAAGCTGCAGTCCAGGCCCAGACCTTTGAAGCCAAGGCAAGGAATGGAATCGAATCGAGAGGGAGCAGGGAAAGACGGTGGAGGCTTCGTCATGACATATTCATGATGTATCTTGAAGTTCTCTGGAAAGGCGCCTTTGAGAAACGACATCTCATACTTCACTCATGGAAATGAAGTTCCCCCCAGAAAGGGACTTTTCATGACAGGCCGAGGAGTCCGCGCGTGCCGCAGAGGCCTGTACCTATCTTTCTACTGCTGGGTTTACCGAACCTGGCGTCAAATATGTGCAATGTGGACCGATATATGCTAACCATGTTGCGAAGAATTTGTTGACGGCACCGCTGCAGTTGGCGTGTTTCTGACCTGCCTACCCTGAAGCAGCAGCGCGAGGTCTCTGTGTCTTCGCCGCGAGTGGCCGCTAGAGTCCGCTAGAGTAGAGCGTGCGTGTCGGTGTGTTTTGCCTACGCCAATATGCCCAATGCTAATCGGGCACTCCCCCGATTGTCTGCTACATGTTGAAGAGTCCTCTGCGTGAAGTGCGCAGGCAAAGAGAGCTGAACTGGAGGCAGAGATTCGGAAGGCCGTGTTGACACAATCCAAGTTTGGTTTTGCGGTGTTTTGCGTGCAGTAAGGTCCGCTCGTTTTAGGCGAGGGGTTTGCGAGCATTGTGTGTTGAGGGAGGGGTGGCAACGGCTTTTGCTCAGACGTAAATTCCAGAGACCCTGAGAGGCCCTTTGTCATCATGTGCATCCTTTTTCTTTCTCAGGCTTCAACAGTGTCGGGCAACGTAGCAGAGGCGAGCTTTCGTTGACATGGTGCCAGGCTCGAAATGCGGAGGCCCAGGCCGGCGAACCCTTTGGCATCCTCTAACTGTCTTGGATCAAAGCCTTGCACTCCAAGCGCCAGGAAGCTCGGAACTTCTTTTTCTCCTTTGACGTTGTATCCATATCGCATGGCAGGCGCAACAGGAAGCTGCAGCTGCTAAGAAGCTCGTCGAGGAGGGATATGATGGGAATCATGTGGTGTGAACTGATGCTGGGATGTTGGGCTTTGAATAGAAGGAAGTGGGTGCCTGCGCTTTCACCGCTTTCACCGCTTTCACCCGGAGGAGGCGAAACTTGCCGAGCTGAGAGCAGTTGAGGAGGCACGGAGTGCCACCGCGGAGAAGGCTCGGACATACACTTCGACGGACATACGATTCGGTCGAGCTGCCCATGGTTTAGCCGTTTTAGCAGATCGCAGACCTGCCGTTGAGGCCGCCGGGCTGTTTGCTGAGGCGGCAGCAGCTCAGGAGTCTTTTCTTGGATTCTGGTGCTCTCTGGTCATCTCTCTGGTCATCTTTGGGTATCTCTCTTTATCTCGGCAGCGCCGGCTCCCCGTCCAGGAGCGCGTGCGCCAAGCCTTGGAAACCCAGGCCACCTTGTGGAAGGGCAGGGAGGCAACACATGCCAAAGTACTTACGTGCTGGTAAGTGCTGCAGATCGAGGCCAAAGCGGCTCAGGAGGCAGCAGCAGCGCAAGAAATGGCGGCCAACCTGCAGGTGCAACAACGTGAGCGGAAGTAGCGATGCGATCATGCGTGCCAGCCGGGTTAAGAGAGTTGTGGACATTCAGCATAGGCTGTCGGCAGAGCTTTCTGTGTCAGGGGAAAGCCTCGCAGACGCTTCCATGGCGACGGAGCTGCATTTCCACAACAGTACGCATGCCTTAAACACGTTTGCAGAGTGTCTGCAGAGCTTCTCGCCCAATTTCCGCATTTACTCCTGGAATTGTCAAGCAGGATAGCAGGACTCAGCATGTGATGACTTGGAGATAAACAAGATTTAAGAAGTCCTTGTTTGCTCGTGCTCCTGCGATGTGGATTGCAACCCGAGGCAGAAGGCGGCTTGAGCATTTCCAAGCTTTCGAGCTGTCACTGTGCAGTCCGTGATCTCAGCGAGGCAGACAGGCACAGTCACCTTGTGTAGATCTAAGCTTCTTTAAAGTCTTGACGCTCAGACAACTCTCAGACCCCAGACCATTGCGTCTGGGAGATATGAGCAGTTTTCCACGGCGGCAGCGCCGACCAGAAGCCAGGGCCAGGGACGTAAGTAAGAAAGATCAACTTGCATCCTCTTCGAAGCTCTGTGCCCGGCGCTGCTCGGGTTTCTGGAGCCACGGCAATTCGCTGTGACGAGGCCAATGCTCTGAGCCATGCCTGCAAGCGGCTACGTGAAACTTTAGCCAGAATGCAAAGCATCACTTGCTACGTGTCATGATGCACGTCCCCCATTGGGGCGAGTTGTAGCTCATGGCTGATTGGCACATTCAAGCCGGTTTGGAAGGCCAAGGTTCGAAGTCAATGCGAAATCGCTTCCTGCGAGTGTTCCACAACATTTCTCAGTACCATAGCAAGTCACGCACCCCAGCTTTGAGACCTCCGAAATGATCTCCTGAAAGAGAATGCACGGTCATTAATCTGTGATGTATGGGTGCTTCAGGTGACTCTGTTTTTTCCTGCACACCTCTTGCCCCGTCCCAAAGCGGGCGAATGATAACGTCAAGAAGATAGCAGCAAAGAGCAGTAGCATTTAAAGAATAGCAACATCACGTTGGCACCTTTAGCTCGAGTTCTGAACTCGACGGACAGAAGCTTGGCCGAACTTGGATAAAAGTGGCACCCGGCAGTCGTCCTTGGTACCAGTAGTGTAGACTCGCGTGTGCAATGTGTTCAACTCTGTTTCGGCCGCGCGCGAATCGAACTGGACACGCCTCGCAGTCCTTTCGTGTTCGGACTTTGGCTCTGAAGTGGCGGGAAAGCACTACGGCGATTTGTGATACTCGAGATGGCCTCGACAATGAGGCCCACATGTAACGTCATGTACAATGCCCGATGGGACGAGGCTGATTGCAAGCTGCATGTGATTCGTGGTTGCACGATGCGGAGGAAGTACTCGACAACTGCTGCAGCTGTGGCCTGTGTGGCTCTCAGCACTAGCCGCGATGCTGACAGGCTCGGCAATGCCCTGTGCAGCCTTGATTTGGCCAAGCTGCATGCCAGTGCTGGACAAACTCTCACATTGCTTTTGTTGCTGGCAAGTGCCGGTATTCCTGCCATCACAGGATTGAGTGACTTCGTTCTTTATGCAAAAGTATAACTCAAGGGTAGTCATTGTACCTCCACGTCGTGATGTGAAGCTGTGCTGAGGCACTGCTGGTGTCACTTTCGTCCTGCCGAGTTCAACTGGCCAATGACCAAGTTTTAAATCCACATCCTGAGGTTCCTGCAACGACCAAGGCCGCTTGAAAGATGTATTTTCTTTCCTTCACAGCCCTAGGGAGCTTCGGTGACCTTTAGATCCAAGCTTGTGCATTGCGCAGTCATGTGCCGTCATGTCAGTGAGCAAGTCGAGGCACCCCTTTGGCTGCTCGTGGCACTGCAGCTCCCGAGGCCGGTTCACGGCTCATCGGCTTGCGTACCTTGAAGCCGCTGCTCTAGCTGCTCTAGCTGTACGGCCTCGCGAGCACGCGCATGACTTCAGAGCAGGTTGGCACCAAGACGGGCCTCTCTGATGCTGCTGCTTACTCGGCTGCTGCAGGGACTTGCAAACCTGAAAGCTTCCATCACTCGTTTGAACATCTGAAGGCTGTACACTGTAAACGCTTGCAGAGCAGGGTGGCCTTCTGCTAGACTTGCTCTACACGCCCGAACATGACATCTTGAACCCTTGACGAGAACGGCCCTTGATGGCCTTTAGACTTTAGTCTTAAGCTCGGGCAATAATTTCATGCCATGACTCGCTTGGATGTCATTGTAGTTTTTACTGGTGTGGCTTGAAGAGTACTCTCGATGGTGCATTCTCCGACTCATGCGGTGCGGCAATGCTCCAGGTAATGCATACTAATGCATTCGTATCTGACGGGGCAAGTGATGTAGCAAGGCGGAATCTTGCAAGAGATGCTAGTCATCTAGCTGGTTTGGATGCTTGTGTGCTAGCCCGCATGAGACATCGCCTTGCCCGGCCCGGTGCTTGGTGGCGGGTTCTCGACAGGCGGAGTGCATCTTTTGCAAGCATGGCTACCAAGCCGACCAAGCCACTTCATCTGCTTGCAGCGCATGAGGCTGTGGCCTTGCTCAAAAATGGATGTGTCACTCCGCTGGAAATGATCGATGTTGTGGAGCAGAGGCTATCACAAACAGATTGCGCACTGAACACGACCCCCATAACCTGCTTCGATCGAGCTCGAGCTCATGCTGCACGTTTTCAGGTGCCCAAAACTCCCCCGCGGGGCTTCCTGTATGGTTTGCCGGTTCTGATCAAAGACTCGGAGGCAGTGGCTGGGGTTCGCTTCACAGAGGGCTCGCCTATATACGCAAGTCGAATCCCTGACAAAAGCTCCCCGCTGGTGACCCAGCTTGAAGAGAGGGGAGCCATTGTTGTCGGGAAGACAAACGTCCCCGAGTTTTGCGCTGGATCGCAGAGCTTCAACCCCTTATTTCCAACGACCGTCTCCCCGTGGGACACGCGGACGACGGCGGGCGGCAGCAGCGGTGGGAGCTGTTCGGCTGTGGCGGCGAGGAATGCACAGAAGAGCTATTTCTGTTCTGTTACCAATTTGGTGCTTTAGGTATACTGTACTGCTTGTTGACTCTTTGTCTTGTGTTCGTGTCCCCAAATGTGTGGCAGAAGGAAATCCGGCAAGTCAAGCATCTGTAAAGCATCTGCAGGTTTTGAGAAAATTGAACATCCATGAAGGCGCTCACAACTCAACCTTCCGAAACGGGTCTCATGTCAATTCTTGTCTCATGTCTCTTGATCGCTTGTCGGAGTTTGACTGACCGATTCCGAGGCAGCCTGCCAGAGCTGGCTTGCAACAGGCTCTGACTTGGGAGGCTCCCTTCGGACGCCCGCTGCATTCTGTGGAGTGCTGGGCTTCCGGGTGTCACCTGGCCGCATCCCAAGAGACGCAAGCACACCTTCAGGTCCTTTGGTGGGACTTCACACCATCAACGGGCCTGTTGGCAGATGTGTTCGGGATGTGGCATTGCTTTTGGACACGATGGAGGGTGGTCACGGATGGGATTTTTCAGTGCCGAGTCTGCCTGAAGGACATACTTTTGAAGCTGCGGCAGTTGCCGGAGCCGAGCAGGGTGCCAACGTGAGAGTCGGCTTCTCCACTGTTGGCTACACATACTCGCCCAGCGTCGAGGCCTGGTCTGCGCCTTGAAGTTGCCAGTCACCGAATGTTCCCAACATAAGCAGAGAGGGCGAAACATGAAGCTTCAGCATGTCTCGCTATGTCTCGCTGTCATGTAGGCCATGTGCCGGAAAGCGGCAACTTTGCTGGCGTCGTGCAATGAAGGATCTACCTGCCAAGAAGTGTCGAGTGATGCAATTGACTTCAGCAAGGCTGAAGAGCTTTTCATGATATTGCGCAGCATCAAGCTTGTATTTATGGCAGCCAAATTTTGAGTTGATGGTTTATGGAGCGAAACTCTCAGATGATCTATAAGGTGTTTGCAGAGTGTTCTCAGTTTGAGGCAACACTTTTGCAGAGAAGTTTTCGGATCTCTTGAATGACGCAGAGATGAAAGCTCTTTTGAAGCCAGAAGTTATCTGGAACGCATCGATTGCTTCAACACGTGGTCTGGCTGCGAGAAGGCAAGAGGCCCAAGAACGCTTGAGCAACCAGTTTGCACAGGTGCAGGAACTCTTCAAATCTATCGACATCCTCTGCGTACCAGCGACACTGGATGCTGCGTTCGATGCTGATGTGCGCTATCCCACGGAACAGCTTGGTCAAACTTTCTCGGACTACTTGGGCTGGATGCTTGCAGTTTCAGCATGCGTTGCAGCATGCATTGACGTCGAACTATCAATTCTATGTCTAGCTTGCCTTCAAATTGCATTAACATTCTCATTCTAAGACACATCATGTAGTATTCTGCCAGAATACTATATCGTGTACGAGGCGTTGCTCCAACATACTGAATTTTAGACTTGGCCCGCGCTCTTGCTTGATCCTTTGATCTTAAGGTTCCTTAGTGGGCTGTGCGGCACGTCGGTCTTGTTTCCTTTCCTTGTGTGGACACCCAGGATGATGCCAGCATGTATAGTCACCACTTTCTTGTGCCCCGCCCTGGTCATGCCTTGCGGCTTCCTGGAGGCGAGAAAGTGCCGTAGATAGCAGCTGGTAACGTTCAGGGTAGTGCCTGTGACTCATGTGAATACCAAAAAGCTTTCATTGCTTGGCTATGTGGCACGACCAGTCAACAGCAAATTGGCGAGCCTGCGCGGATTCTGCCAAACAAAGCATGCTCTACCACTGTTCCCACCTGTTGTGCTAACTTTTCCTGGAGCCTGCAGAATAGCAAAGCATTTGTCGGGAGCAATTGGAGTGGGCGTCTTGAGGTGTATTGCATGTCGCATAGAGAAACACGCATCTGGAACTTGTGCACAGTTCCGCGTAGATTTCTAAATATTTGGACTCTGGAGGATGGCCGCCCTGTGGGCTTGCAGCTTGTGGCGCCCTTCGGCGAGGATGCCGCGCTTCTTCGTGCGGCGGCTGCGCTCGAGAAAGAGCTGGGCCTGCCCCAGGGCTGCCCCGAGCCGCGCCGCGGCAGTGTGGATCTGGACACCAAAGGCCCCAGATCCATAGAAGAGGCTGCCCTTCACCATGGTGTTCACTGAGCTTGGTGGTCCGCATTGCGCACCAGGCTCTGTACAGTGTAGTGTAGTGAGCACGACAACAGCGCCTGGAACGCTTTGGACAGTTTCAGCTACGATGGCCAAAAAGAAAAGCTCAGGTCGGCAGATGGTCGGAAGCATCTCAGAACCTAGCCTAAGAGATCGGAGTTCCATCCTTGTTGCAAAGGGCAGGGTGAAGTCTAACAGAGCTTGTCCTTTATCATGATGCATTTGGTGGCAAAATCATGACAGTTCATGACCAACGAGCATATTTCAGGATCGAATCGTTCATGACCAAGTGGTCAACATTATACTATTTCATACATGCTCAGCCCCCCATAACCAGCCGGTGCACAGTGTGTAAGCCGAAGCCACTGTCTTTGTATAGCAGCTAGCAGAGACTTCCAGACAAGGATCATTGATTACTGCAGCTGACCTCGGACGATTCTCAGGCGGCGCCCCTGGCACTTGGTGCTGTTGCCGCTCTTACAGCTGCACACCGAAGGCAGCTGGCAACTGGCTGTCGCAAGGATTTCCTTTTGAGGTCGCTGCAGTGGAAGATTCAGGTTCGTTGGTGTTGGGCGTAGCGGCATTGCATTTCCGACCTGAACCATCGCCAGCAACACATGTTGGAAGGATTTAAGGCTTAAGGGCTGCACCATAGAAGGCTCGCAATACCGAGACTTTTTTTTTTTTCAGTCTCTTGGGCCTTCTAGCTTCCTCGCCTGTGCCATACCACGCGGCTCTGATCAACGCTTCTAATTGCCATGACAGAGTCCCTGGCCATGAGTTTAGCGAATCCTCCGCAGTTCAGGCCCAACATGGCCTAACAGCCAAACTTGTTGCAACAAGAGCACATGCGAAGAAGCCAGGCCAGCGTGATAGAGGGAGAGAGCCAGAGAGAGCCAGGCGACAGAAGACCGTCACGCGAAGTGGCCTCAGTTTCGCACATAGTGGTACCGTCTCGCTTGGCGGGCACTACTGTAAGCATGGTTTGCAGGCAGGGTATTTTGCCTGTGCAAGCTAAGGTGCTGCCCCCCCACAACGCGCCCCTTTGCTCAATGGCCTGGAGGCGATCCGATCGCTCGCCTCCAGTCAAGCATGTCAGTGTCACGGTAAATCTGCCACAGAGTCACAGAGTCACAGAGCTTGATGGAGATGAATTGAAATCTTGAAGCAGCGCATAGCAGCGCTATTGCCTTTGCGAGACCATGCCTTGGAGGCCGACTTCGGATATCGGATCCCCTGTAGCAAACAAGGCAAACAAGTACAGCAGTTGAGCAGTCGGAGAAACTCGCAGGAAGAGCCTCTGGTATCTCTGGTGCTAAGAGCCGTACACAAGTAAGGCTACTTCTAACTTGTAACCTGCCTTTCTCTGATAGCGACTTCGTATTGTCATGTGCAGTTGGCGATTCAGACCAAGTTGGAGGAACGCCTGCAAAGGCACGGAGTCCGAGCGCCAAAATTCACAGAATTTCACAGGCAGACCGTGAATTTTGGGTCGAAATGGCGAAAGAGCACAGCATCCAGAGTTTTGCTTTTACATCAAGACCAGCTCTGAACTTCAGGCAAAGCACGATCACCTCTGAGATGCAGCGGAACAACGACGCATTCAAGAAGCAGCTTGAGGACGGCGTGTTGCGTTTTAGAGTTTGGCCAACTTCGAGGAGGATTGCAACTGTACAGCTCCTCTCAGACTGCAGGAAGAGCTCAGCTCTCACATGCGCAGGGAAGCCCAGTCTGCTCCTCGCACAATAGGCATGACTATCTCGTATTTTGGCTGGGGTTCTTAGGCAAAGAGCAGAGTTATTGTCCCCGTGCCAAGCATTGTCAAGCATCCTGCAGGCATGAAAGACAACCTGAAGTCGCGTATCCGCGCGTTGCAGGTGCGGTGCACGTCATAGATGTCACACAAAATTTGCGTGTGCCTGCATGGAACAAAGCTGCTGATTAGCACTCTTCTTATGTAAGCCTGTGTCGGCAAAAGCTTTTTTAAGGGCGTTCTCGACGGAGAAACCCTTAGATGTTCGTGATGTCATGGTACATAAAGAACTTACAAAAAAACAGAAACTCAACAAACAACTAGACATGCTGTTTCTCTACAGCAGTGATGCAATTGCCTGCAGTTGCATCTGCAAACGCGAGACTCTGCTGGTGTCCTTGTTTGGCTGGCACCGTGTCCAGAGCATCTACGATGATGCGAACGACAAGCTCGAGCTTGCCCAGTCTTTGTCTTTGCAATCGCAGGCGCAACGCTAACTTGCAGCTTGCAGAAGTCACCGACGTATTTCCCACCAATGAGCACCCAGTTTGCACCTGCCCTTGAGGAGAGCTGCAGTGAGCTGCAGGAAGAGGTGAATGCTCTTGAGAGAAACTTGAGGCAGTATTGCCGAATGCTACCGGGTAGGTCTAGTTAGAACATGGCATGTGTCGGAGTTCAAGGTACTAGCGTCGAAGAATTGGAGAGTTCAGATTCTCATTATCTGCAATGAAGGAGAATGCAGTTTTGCGGGCGTCCCTGAAAAAGAGACTGAGCCCCTGAGGGAAGTGGAGAAGAAGAATGCTGCCAAAATCTCGCAGCTCGAGGGCGAATCAAAGGAGAAGGAGGCAGATCTGCTCCCAGTATCCTCTACCACGTCCATTTTCGGATAGTCTGGTCGTCTACACAACAATGGCGCAGCCATCGAATCAGAACAAGGAAGGCATCATAGCTTGACATAGTTGCACATTCAGCTGGAGCCAGGTGAAGTTGGACCAACTCACCATGGCAACCACGCGTTTGCAGCAGAGCGTGAGGCCTGACTTCTTATTCATTGTAGAGAGGAGCTGCAAAGGCCGTCTCGCAGTATTTCTCATACTATCATTTTTATTCTGTTTCTGCGCATGTCGTGCTGCGCTATTGCGAGGGAGCTGGAGGAAACGCGTGAGGCCCGGCAGGGCAGACGCTAGGTCAAAGTCGCACCATCAATCAAAAGCCCATGCGCTGCCCTTGTATACTGCAAGTCTTCGGCAGGTGGAGAGGAAAGAAGCTGTGACCAAGGATGCCCTGTGCTGCACCTGTCCGAAGCGTATTTGTACGCTTTCGACCAACACAAGAATTTCATGGAAGCATCTATTAAGATTGCTGGCTGCCGCATCGAATGCCGAATGCGCATAAAGAATGTGAGAACCTCTAGAACCCTAGGAGGCCAGTCACGGCTCTTGGATAGGAGAAGGACTTGCGCAACGTGTTGCAAACGAAGCAGGCTGCGTCACCCCCTCAGCAGATGCGCAGATACACACTCACACAGAGCGCATGTTTGCACAGGCGCTGATGTCACGTGCCCACTGGCCCTCGTGCAGCGTCTTGACGGCCAAGGCTTCAGTCAGCTATGCACTTCAACGACGAGGCTTCGCATGTCAGCTCTCACCCAGGAGGTTCTTGAGGAAGTTCTGCTAGTTTCTGCGACTGCAAGTCGTGAAGTAGTGTAAGGTGAGCGTGCCTTGACACATTGCCGCAGGTGCAGGCAGAACTTCGCACCTGCAAGGAGCAGATCGTTGCGCTGACTCAGAAGGTGACGCGCCACAGACACAGACTGTTGCAATATTAAGTGTTGCTCAAGTACCCCGCTGCATGATGGCAGCGGGTGCCCGAGCTCTCGCCGCATTAACAACCGACAAGCACCACGGCAGATCATTCACTGCCATGGGTACCCCGGCGACGATGAAATTCGGACATGGCGGAGGGGAACGGGCGACGGGCTATGCGCATCTGGGCCGTCGGCCAGACAGTATGCTGTCAGCAGGGCGAAGGTGAGAGGTGTAGCTGTAGACAAAAACAACTTGAACAATCTTGACAACATGCAAAATTGTGTTTCGTTTCGGACTATGCCAGTGGAGGAAATTCCAGATGAAAGTTGGGGCGAATCTGACATGGATCTCTTTCGGAATCTGGAGGTGGAAGTCCCTCCTCTAATGATCTACCCGATGCGGCGAGAAACTCAACCAAACTTCGGCATGAAGGGAGAATTCAAGGAGCATACTGGTGGCTTCAGAAAGAGAATTGCCAACTCCAACGTCAAGGCTCATGCACAGCCTCTAAAGGGCGTTGCAGGATCTTCTTTAGCAGAGTGTTCCGTGCAATTGAGGACACGCTCTTGAGCACAGTCAGTACTTATGACATGTGCATGCAACTTGTCCGTGTATGTACGGCTACGTGTCTCCGGGCCCCTGTTTGCGGCCTAGGGTTTACAAGAAACCCGCTCACGACGGGCCCCCTTCCAGTGGCATACATTTGGAACAAGAGGGTGCGACAATTTTTCCCAGCAACAGCGTACCAAAAGTTCTCCAGACTCAGGGCCCGAGGCCTCGGCGAATAGAGTGGGTGGCTATGGGCAGATTTTGCGCAATTGGAGCACATCGGAGCACTGCTGCATTCCAGGTGCAGGCTGCTGAGAACGTACTCCTGGCGCAGAACAACAAGAATCAGGCAGGAATACCGTGAGCCCGCGAGATTGCATAAACTTACGATGCTTCAGGCTTGTGCCTGCCGGCGTGTGTTTAGTAATTAGGGCTCGAGGACAGGTCTGTGATGGAGATTTGTGTTGCCTTGGAAGGAGCTATCCAGCCGATTGCAGTTAGCTCAAGCCAATTCACAGCGCAAGGCCCTCAGTTGAGGTGCTCATGCCGGTGCTGGACATGCCGTTGCTATCCACTGGCAAAAGGAGGTAGGCCGGCCATCGCAAGTAATTTCGCATCCCTCTGCCAGGGCTCTCGACAGAGCAGAAGAAGCTGCAGCAGGAGCCATGTGGATCATTGTATGTGGCACTGGCAAGATTCGCACATGTGCTCACTGGAGGAGAAGCAGGCGGCCCTCGTGCGCGAACAACGTGTGCAGGAAACTGGGTTGCCTTTGAGCCATGAGCCCCGCAGGAAAGTCCAGCTTCGTTGCTTTGCATCGCCTCGACCAGGAGAGCTTCAAGAAGACAGAAGTCAGGCCCAGACCCTGGCACTTCTGTTGTGAGCTCTTCGGTCGGGCTGACCGGACGTCCTCAGATCTTGTAGTCCTTGTAGCGGGCCTGTTGCAGTGGCTGACAGCCACCTGGTAAGACATCTGTCCCGAGGGAGCAGGCTCTCAAGCAGATCATTCCGTTGATGGAAGCAGATGAGAAGAATCTGAAGGCCCGTGGGCCCTAGATGACACTGGCATATCCTAGCGGAATCAAGGTCTACATGTCAATGTCAGCATGTGCATTCATGTGCATTCATGTGCATTCATGTGCATTCATGTGCATTCATGTGCATGCATGTGCATGCATGTGCATGCATGTGCATGCATGTGCATGCTTGTCATCGCATGCTATCTATTGTCATCTGTCGTCCATGCAGCAAGAATACAGATTTCATTCTGCCAGCGCCAGGACCGCATAACCCTGCTGGAGGACCAGGCTCAGAACGAAAAAGTTCTGTCGCCTCGTCCTTAGTGCGATTCGATCTGACCAAGGAGTTGTTTCCGCTCAGCTTGCGACTTGCAGCAATGCTACACTTTGAACCCAACCGGTATGAACAGGTATCGGCTGCAAGAGTGTGAGGAGGACAACAACAAGCTGGCAGCGGAGGTAAAGAGGATGCAGGCTTGGTACCTCGTCAGTCGTGCATCCTGAAAACTGCACAGGATCGAGGCGAGTACGCGCAATCTTGCGTACGCAAGGCACGCAGTCACACAGGACACACGACATACAGGCACGAGCACGATTTGCCGCGATGCCTGTCCAGAGCACACAAGGCCTAGGCGATCGATGCGAGAGCTCCTCCGGAAGAAAGAGCGAGAGCGCTGTCGCTTGCGATTGGGATGCGAAAGGAGCGTGTTGCGCGCGTGCGATCAGAATCAGTATCAACCGATCAATTCCCTAGGCCCTTGACCCCAAACATAAGAAACTCATAGGGCATGTACATGCATGTAGTGTTTGGTGAATGTATGACACGGTAATTTCCGAAAAACGATCGCTTCAGCAACCCTCAGCCGCATCCAGCAATAACTGTATCCCTTTTCAGAACAAACACATCCGTCTCAAAAGCTTATCACAATTGTCCAGCGTGTGTCCGCCACATGCCGATTCGACCCTCCTGCCGGAGACCTCATGACTCAGTTATCCAATGTCTGTCGGTCCTTATTGATCTAGTGACGCATTGCCGCATTGCCCGTTTTGATTTGTTGAAAACTTGTCAGGCAGCCTTGGAGAACCAGGCCAAGGAGAAGCATCGACTGTCAGCAGAGATCATGAAATCGCAGGACTTCATCTCTGCATGTTTGTCTGCATGTCGAACACAGCCGTATTCATTCGCTTGGCTACTTCTCTGCTCAGGATAGGGCAGTCACACTCCAAGAAGGCCTCCAAACCATGAATGTGCGGAGCTTGGGCGAAGCGAGAAGCACAGAGAGAGAGAGAGAGAGAGAACGGCGGGCGATGACGCCCGGAGGCTCCGGCCTCCATGCCCTCCGAAAGAAAGAAAGAAAGAGAGAGAACGGTGTCCTCCTCTCGGGGGGGGCGCCTTCGCTGGGAAGAAGAAGAAGAAGCAGAAGAAGAAGAAGAAGAAGAAGAAGAAGAAGAAGAAGAAGAAGAAGAAGAAGAAGAAGAAGAAGAAGAAGAAGAAGAAGAAGAAGAAGAAGAGAGAGTGAGGGGGGAGGGAGATTCGTTGTGAAATTGATGGAACCCTCAACCCCCCTCACAAACGCACCGCGAAAACCGTGGGGCACCAATCAGACGGACCATCGGACTTTGCGCTCCCTTCGGGGCAGCTCCCCTTCGGGAGGGCTTAGCGTGGAGAGAGAAGGAGAGAGAGAGAGAGAGAGAGAGAGAGAGAGAGAGAGAAAGAGAGCCACCGGTAACCTCTGACATCAATCTGACGTACCCTACAAACAGAGGGGGGGGAACTCGCCCGGAGGATGACCCCTAGCCCCACGGAAGAAAGAAAGAATGAAAGAGAGAGCGAGAGTGAGATTGCCCTAAGCAGGGGCGCTGCAGCGCAGGGGTATTCCCCCCGTGAAAGCAAGAAAGAAGGAAGGACAGAAAGACAGAAATAGAGAGACAAAAAACAGCCTGCCCTAGACGCGTGATCTGGGTGCGCCTAGCGCACGCGGGGAGGGGGGGGGGTTGGTCCCTCCCCGAAGCTGTGCTCAAGAAGAAGAAGAAGAAGAAGAAGAAGAAGAAGAAGAAGAAGAAGAAGAAGAAGAAGAAGAAGAAGAAGAAGACGAAGAAGAAGAAGAAGAAGAAGAAGAAGAAGAAGAAGAAGAAGAAGAAGAAGAAGAAGAAGAAGAAGAAGAAGAAGAAGAAGAAGAAGAAGAAGAAGAAGAAGAAGAAGAAGAAGAAGAAGAAGAAGAAGAAGAAGAATAAGAATACCTAGTGTGTAGGGGAGAGGGATATGTTGAAGGATGTACAATGTAAGGCTAGGGTCTTTCCGAGTTGGCGGCACTGCGGCGTGGGTGAAGCCCGCGTCGCGGCGCAGCTAAGTATTGCTCCGAGCGGGGAGAAGCACAGAGGGGAATGTGAACATGATCCCCATAAATAAGGTTTCCTGTGCAGGGATTTCCCGGGATGATGGCGATTGTTACCTAGCCGTGTGTTGCGGGGTTGTGTGCCGATCTTGTGGGGGAGGATGGGTGTCCCGCGCAATCTCGAGTGGCGTAGTGTTGTACGGCCATATGCAGCCATGGGGGTAGCAGGACACACGAGGCTGGATGTCAGTACATATACGCGCTTCGTCTGAAATCACTCCGACCGCACCGCAAAGTGCGCGCCTTGGAGCGTGGGTGGGGGGGGCCAGGTGGTGGAGAAAATCGTCCCTTCTAGATTTGAGGGCGGTTGTGTGGAAGGGGGTAGCCGGGGGCTAAGTGTCTCCCAGCCGAAGGGCAATGGCAAACGACCCACCATCTGACGTGACCACGTGCACGGGCGGGCATGCCCGGCACGCCTGAGCGTCTCTCCCGCTCAGAAGCGAAAAGGGAAAACTGATAAAACTGCTGCAAGAGCGTAGTTATGATCAGTGGGCTGTGACCCTGATCAGTGGCTGTCATGAAGCGAGAAAAGACTCCGAACGGATGCGGTTCTCTTTGAATGCTCTGAAGGTTGATGCGTCGGTGCGTGCTGCACAGGCAGATAGATGTCAGAAATGCGCACTCAGTTGTTCTGGTAGTGGCTTCGTTAATGAAGCGGGTGCCCGTTTTCAGCGAGAGGCGCACACGGCCACGCTCGAGACAGAGATCGCAGAGGCACAAGACATTGTGGTGTTCGCATGCTCACGTTGTCTGTTGGTAGAAAAGCTAGGTTGTAATCCATGAACACTTGGGAAACCGTGACAACGAGCTTTCCTGGGTTCTTTTGAGATTCTCAGATATCGTGCGAGGCGCGTCGAGCCGAGGCCAAGGTCCGCAGGGCACGGAAGTCTCTTTGAACGTATCCAAGCATCTGAGGGACAGAGAGATCGGGCCAGGCCCAGAGTGAAGCTGCAGCTGCAAAGCAGCTTGTTGAGGCCGGGGGCGGGGACGAATGGGTTGGAATTAGCCGGAATGTGTTGGACCAGGGGCCAGGGCCAGCTGCTCATGTTAGATCCTTGAAAAAACACAGCACGCTTCTCGAAGGAGGCGAAGCTGGCGGAGTTGAAGGCAGTCCAGGATGCACAGAGCGCCTCCGCCGCGCAGGCCGTCACAAGTTGAACACGAACTGCCGTTGTTCGTTGTAGCTGATTGTAGCTGATTGTAGCTCGATCTCCAGTGCTTTGTTCTGTGCAAAGGCAGCGGGCCTGCTTGAGAAAGCCTCAGCAGCGCAGGAACTACGTTCGCTTTCCTGGTTGTACGCAAGCTTTCCTGCATAGCAACAGTGTACCGAGCTGTACAACAAAGAACCGACAGAAGTTGTGTTCTGGCTGGAGGAGCGTGTTCGTCAAGCTGTGGCAGCTCAGGCAAGTGCCAGTTCAAGCATTTTCAAGCACTCGCAAAAAGGGAATCAGCCTCTCATGGGGCGGCTCTCGTGTTCTCAGGCCAGGGCAGCTCAGGAGGCAGCGGCAGCACAGAAGACCGCTGCTGATCTCCAGGCGGGGGCCTTTGTTGGCTGCGATGCCCAAAGAGGATCCCTCGACTCAAGGTATTTTGTGCAAAAGGACTGGCGGAAAATGACGGAAAGTTTCTGTGAGCCCAGGCCAAAGCGGCCAAGGGGTTCAAGTTGCCCTGGTGCCTCAGCTGCGTTTCCTTTGCGCGCTCGATTCGCTCGATTCGCTCTGTGGGGGAGATTGGAGAAGCCATCGTTGAGGCAATGTGTCTTGGAGAGGGGATGGAATTCATATGGCTTGTGATCTTTTGATCTGCGCGATTGTTCCAATGTCTGTTGTTCAGCAAAGCATACATGTCCTGACTGAAGTTCCTATCGCATTGAAGCCGAGGCAGAAGAAGGTGGCGGCGTGATCCACCTGTCTCTTGTTCCACTCTATGATGTAGGCAGGTCGTAGTCAGGCGATTTCCGAATGGTCAAAAAACAGCACGACCCTGTGTGAAGCTGAAATTGATTTTGGTGGCCACGCCGGAGATCACATCATCGCCTTCCAAGTGGATCACTGTGTCCACTTCCGCGGTGCAAAGAAGCCGATTTGAAACGCATTCAGAGGACCACTGAGTCCCGAAGAAGTCAGCAATTTTCCCCGGCAGCAGTGCCGACCGCGAGCAAACCCCATGCTCCAGGCAAGGTATGTGCGATCGCGAAGGCTGCAAAGCCATGGGTGACAACACGGCTTAGCAATTGCTTCAAGTTGAGGTCTCTCACGATGTACAGACGGGGCTTGAACGCTAACATAGGCAGAAGTATCTCATCGCAACGCATCCAGTCTTGCCTGCCTTCGTTTAAAGCCGCGGCACTTCATTTCAGGAGGCCGAGCACAAGACTCACCACATTCTACTTTACTCACGTGATACCAGTACAGGGGATTGCGATACGCAGGAGCTCTCGTCGAACAACTGGTAATTGCTGTTCGTGAGCCGATGATGGCGCATGGGTGTCATTGCGCAGTAGCATGGAACACGTGATGTACCAGAATAACTTTTTTTACGCATGTTGGCACGGATCGAAGACAATTTTGGGCTAGCAGATGTCCTTCGCATCTCTTACAGGCTCTTGTACGCATTCTGTGGCCCAGCGCACCACTCACACAGCAGAAGGGCGAATATTTTAGAGCATCATGCTGGAACACAGGGTGGATTACCAGAAGCTAAATGACAGGAATGTTGTTTCAGCCGTTTAGGTACGGCCTCCGTGGAGGATACCCATTGATTTTCGGGTACCACCTCCCAGGGAATCCCTGAAATTAGGAATTTCCAGGGATCACCAGGAATGCCTAGGAAATGCCTAGGAGTGCCTACAGCGACAGCGACCAGGGCCACATCCATTCTTCATTGGAGTGTTTATGAACATATTGACTTGTGGCCCTTGTTTGACAAAACGCTCAGACAGTCGACGCCTTGAAGCTCCAACTCCCTCGACTACAGCGGGGAACATGGACCCAGTTGGCACAGCAGAATCCCAAAGCGTGCAGCCATCGTAAAGATGCGCTGCCAGTAGCTGTGCCTTTGTTTCGCCATCGAAGGCACCCCTCCAAAGACGGCATGGACAATTTCAGAGGGGTGGTTCCACGATGCTCGAGGCTCCCGCGCCAGGCTCTCCAGGTATGTCGAAACGGGGAGTGCTCAGATGGCTGTGACCTTACCCTCCCAGCACTTTCTTGCGAGCTGCGCTTATTGCAAGAAAAGTGGGAACGAAGTGACAGATCATGGCATGACTGAGTTTCTGCTGACGGCGATATTTTTGTGGTGGCCAAGACTCGTTGGTCTGGACATGTTTCGTGTCGCTACTCCTGGGCTCAGACGTGACCCTCGCCATTTGCTGCCCTTAAGGGGCTTGCATGCGGGGGAGTGGAGAAGTCGTCATCTGGCTTAGCTACAGATCCAAGCTGACAGATATTGCACTTGCAACACTCCTGCAACTTGACAGTCTGCATGCTTACTGCCGTAAGTGGCGCACTGACAGATCCGTCGGCCAGCTGCTTATCGCTTACCTCTCAATCATGTGCCACGTGCACGTTTCCAGTAAAAATTGCAGCATGTTGGCGGCCAGCGATTTGTCTCATGTCTAGTTGGCTGCAAGGCCTGACCCTGAAGGGGACTGGTGAGGCGACATTGGACAGGCCGAGACTGTCATGTTACTGGCAACATATTCGCCATAAAAGGATCTCGGTGCGTCTCTCTGAAAGGGACTGGATGGATGACGGCACGAGTCTCGATGGACAACAGTCTTCAGAAGCGGCACCTTTTATCTTCAGTGTCCCAAGACGTCCCCTAAGGCCGAGCCCTGCTTGCGCCCAGCAAGTTCGTTCGCGCCTCGATGGCCTCAATGACCCAATGGCATCCGAGCATGTCCAAGCTAAGCACAGGTGCAAGGAATTGTTCGGATGGACCGGAAGATTCCTCCTCAATCATTGGGCAGCTCCGTGAAATTTCGCTGAGGTGTTTACCCCGGATGCTGCAAGCTTCAAGCGCGAAAAGGCCACGGGCTGCAAATGCTGCCTCACAACTAAATTTCTGTACAGGTCGTGAAAGTGCTTTGCAGTGCTTTTGGTCTGATTTTAAGTATGTCACCTCTTCTTTGGGTCTGCTTGTGGGTCACATCGAGGCACTGTGAGACATTGCCCAGGAGCTTCTGATTGCCAACGAGAAGCTGACCGCTGATGTTGAACGTTTGCAGCAACGCTTGGGCCTTGAGAGCTCAGAGCACGTCGTGCTCTCTGAAGCCTTGCGATTCATCAATTGGTAGTTGCATTTTGGCATTGGTTACGAGAGAGCTCCCTCCCCAAAGCTGGGTTAGAGGGAGGGGGGAGAAGCCCAATGACGGAGCCATCCTGGGGCGCGTTCGCGGCTCGTTTATCGGTCAGGGGCTACTCTCCAGTCTAAGGCCTAGAACGCATACCGATTCAGTCCTTTTTTACGTGGGATCCCCCCATGACCTCCGGAAGCCCCGGCTCGAATGAAAGCTGGGGCTTGGTTGAAACAAGTTGCGATCCGTCCGACAGCGGGGATCACTCTGGAGGGCCGGGTGACGGTACGGTCGGCGCTCGGTGACTTCATCGCGGACAGGGGGAGACATGGCCTCTGTGAGAGCCTGTGTCGTCGTGGGCGGGCTCAGTTTCGCCTCATCACTCGCACTTTGGTATCAGGGAACATGACTCTTTGAACACAGCCTTTGCCTTTCTACTGTCCGGCAGCCAACATGCGCGGTTTGAGGCTGAGGGTTCGCAAGGGTCCGGGGTTGAGGGCTTCGGCAGTTCACAAGAGCAGGACACATTCTTCTCGAATCTTCCACATGTGTGTTCGGATTCAGATGTGGTGCCCTTGGGTTGCGGGGCTGCGCTCTAGAAGCCTTGGTGTTCGGCCGTATATCATTGGATCATGCCGCTGCTAAGCCCGCTTTTTCCGCGGCTGCCGTCAAGAGCTTCCATCCTCGACCCTAGAAGCTTGCCCTTGTCAGCTTTCGTGTTTCCCCCCGCCTCAGCGCAAGCGTTCAGCAACAGCTGCTTCCACGGACACATGTGTTTCACTTTGCCGTGCCTCCAGGCCTGTCGTTTGTCGAGGACCGATTGCGCGCGTCTATGCCTGGTAGCATCTTGTAGCGTTCCCACTCTATGCTGTAGGAACTCGTTGGTCCCACAGAGACGCAGCGAAAGGCCAGCAGTTCTCTCACGCACCGTCTTGCAGTATGCTGCATGCTGCAGCCTGCTCTTTTTATTGCAACCCTGTGATCCCTGTGCAGAATTTTCAGCTGCAGCTGAGCTTGGCGAGAGAAGCAGCGCTTCGAGTTGCCAGGGCCCAAGAGGGCTATCGAAGCTGGATCCCACGGAGCTGTGAAGCGGGCTCCGTATCACCTGCATCCTTAAGAGGGACCTAAAGACATCTTATGGCATTCTTAAGGCCTACCAGACGATATACACACCAGTACGGCAGTTGTAAGCATTGACGGTGGCATAGCGCTTTTTGTGCTGTTGAGTGCATGAGGCTCACAGCAATGCCGGCTCCATCCCCACTCGCTGCGTTGGTCGGCTGGATGAAAACTGGCAAGCCCCCCTGCAGTGGAAGAAGTGCTACATGAAGTCGCCTCGATGATCAACAATCGGATGCAGGGCTAGGTGAGCTGTCTGCAGCAGGCTGCGTTCAAAGGGCCTCACAGATCAAGAGTGCCAAGACCTCAGCTGTCATTCTTCCGAACTTGAGTCGTTGGAGCATTCTGCACTAGAAGCCTGAAATGGTCGTTCATGCTTTGAAGACGGGCCCTTTGAGCAGGCAGCATGCTGCAAAGGGGTTGCGTGGCGGGTCATGACGGTGTGCCAGGGGCTGAGCCACCCGGGGGTGTGAGCGAGCTTGCAGAAGACTACAGCAGCCACGTCACACGATTTGCATCTGACTTGCTGCCAGCAACTTGACTGCTTTGGCATCCGTCCGGGTGCATGTCTTATGGAATGATGGAATGCTATGAGTTTTTGTTGAGTAATTCAGGCCGTGTGACATATCGGTGGGCCTCCCAGCTGCTTGCACTGCCCACATCAGACCAAACCAACATGTGCCAGCTCAATGCGCAATGCATCTGACAGATGCTGGGCGATCCCGGCTTCTGCCCGTACGACCGAAAGACACTGCAGCCCAGATGGGAGGCCTTGCGTTTGCGTTTTGTCTGCATGTCTGTCCTGTCCCTGTCCCTGTCTGCCTGTCCCTGTCCCTGTCCCTGTCCCTGTCCCTGTCCCTGTCCCTGTCCCTGTCCCTGTCCCTGTCCCTGTCCCTGTCCCTGTCCCTGTCCCTGTCCCTGTCCCTGTCCCTGTCCCTGTCCCTGTCCCTGTCCCTGTCCCTCGCTCTCCCTCGCTCAGCCTGCTGGACCCCTGAGTCGGGCCTTGTTTGTCAGGCCGCCCTCTCCTTCTCACGGCCCCTGCGCGTCTCGCTGTTTTCGTTTTCACTCTGTTTGTTTTTAAATCTTTCCCTCTCTCTCTCTCTCTGCATGAGCCTGGGGACACAGCCGCAGGCCAAAGGCGGCTTCCTGCAGCTGAGCCTGGGAGACCTCCGTGAGAAGTGGGGCGAAGAGGCCTTCCTATGCTCTCGAATGCTCTCGAATGCTCTCGAGCCCTGGGCAGTTTGGTCCAGTTGGTGCAGTTTTTGTCAGATAGTTGTCCCTGCGGCATATTGTGGCATATCCGAAGCATGATGTTAACGTGAGCAGAGGTGGCCTTGGAGGTGGTCCGCTGTGCTATAGAGCTGGACAGGCGAGTGTGCCAATCGGGGCCTGCAGCTCTGGGCACGTAGGTGTACCTGTTCATGCGTGCCGGAGCTGTATCACAGAGCCATGCAAAGACCGTCACGACTGCACAGATCTACATAACTACATGCAGCTATTGGGGCCTATGCAGGCAGAAGTTTGGAAACAGGCATAAGATCTAGAAGCGCCAAAGGGCTTGTGTGAATGTAGCATTGTATTGCAAGGCATTGCTTTTATGTTGCATTGTACAGCATTCTATCACATTGCATTGTGCACGCAGAACCGGTCAGGACACCGCAAGGCGCAATTGCTCAGCCTGATGGCCCTCGCCCACAGACACTCATCAAACAACAGTACAAAGAGAGTAAAGTTAGGCAAATCAACATAGAAGTTGTCGTAGAGATCTGTTTGGCCTCGTACCATGAGCCTGGAGCCATGGCCGTGGCCGCAGCTGCAGGCCTGGGTCCTTGACGGGGCGGAAAACTGAGAACTTCTAGAGCTGTGCCGCTGTGCCTGGCATTGCCTGGTCCACATCTGGCACTTGCAGGTGCTCCGGACATCCACCGGCAGGGGAGCCCAGCATTACACCCACCGTGCACACTACTCACTACTCCTCCGCTCTCGATGCATGTCTCAGTCTCAACAACATTTATCAACGACCTGGCTCGGGCCAGGAGGACGCTTGAACGGGGCAAGTATTGTAGTTTCAGAGGTTCGAATTGGCTTCCCCTGGCTAATACCAGGGCAGCATTAGAATGGACTGGTCTGGTCGATCATTCAATTACGACACCAGGCTTTTCACCCAGACAGAAGTGATCAGAAGTGCAGGAAAATCCGAAAGGATTTGCTGCCCCCATCGTACCTCTGCGACGCTACAACACGCCAAATGGCCAGCAACATCGGCCCATTCATGAGTTCATACGTTGCAAGGTCGCGTAGCATATCCACGGCAAGGTGCAGGCTCCTGGACTACGCCGTTTTGTTTGTCTAGCGAAGCCGTCATGAATTTGGCAGTAGGCCGTAGCTAAAGCGGGCCACTTGATCATGAAGGTATTGCAGACGCGCACCTCTGATGACTGCGGCGGTAGTGGCCCCTCGTTCGAAGAGACTGCTTGCGGCCATTCGGGTGGTGGTTTCAGAATTTCACGTCTGTACTAGTACCTTCCATGCCCGGGCTGCTTGAATCGTCCGAAGCTGCAGGCCAGTCTGATAGTGGCACCTGATCCGATGAGGCCCGAACATGCAATACGTGTGAGGGTTTGCAGCATATGCAAAATGTAAACCAGCTAGTCTTGTGAGCTTGCTATACTTTCTGTAGCCGCGTGCATCATGTTGAAGTCCACAAAGAGGCCGAGTGTTTCTTGGGCCTCGAGTCGGACGCCTTCAACTCCGAGGATCTGTGAGATGAATAGTGCTCTCTGCCTTGCGCATTTGAGTTGCTCTCGCCTTGAGGGCAATCAGCGTGGATGCATCCCTGTTGAACAGTTTGTCCATCGGTCCAAGTATAGAGCTCGCAGAGATACTGGATATGTGGTGCCTGTTGGCATGCGACTTGCCGGGAAACGAATCACATCGATCAGAAGTTGCTTGAAGGAGCCAACGTGCTGTTCGCAAAGGTGGCAGGAGTGTCTGCGGTCTGTTTGGTGCATGATCTGAACACAGTAACATAGTCTACAGCCGTGCTGGCATCATCACGTGGAACTTCCAGCAGAGATGTTCCGACAATATCGCGAAGGTATTTCAAAGCAGGCTTGTGCAGACCTCATGCTGGCTCCGATGCCGAGCCATGGGTTACCGGCAGCTCGAGCGATTTAAAATATCGTTGCGCAAGATGCCTTCCTATGCTTGACAAAACACACCCGAGACATGAAGCTTGATAAACAAAGCGCACACACACGCATACACACACAGACAATCACACACACAAGATGAAACCTACAAAGTTTGACTATCCTATCGGCCACTCATGCACCGAACATGTGGAAGCCAGAACAGCCGGAAGGCCTGAGACGAACTCTCGATGTCTGGCACTGACACGCGTCAGTGCTGAGGGACGAAGATGTCCCATGCAAAGTAGCGAAAGAAGCCAAGGCAGCCAAGGTAGCCGTTTCGAAGCATGAGAAAACTTCAGCAGGATCTGGGGGGCTCCCTTGACAGTGCAGGAGAGGCTCGCGGCCTATGCGCAGGAGAAGCCGGCCTTGCTCTGAGTGATGAGACAGGGCTGCACAAACAGAGCTTTGCACGGCATCTAGACTCATGTAGAGCTGTCTGGTTAAACATCTGTGTCTCGTACGCGAGTTACGATAAACAGTCCGCTCCAACGATCTGGCTGATGAGACCCGCGAGGTCGTCTGAGCTGCTACAACACAGACGTGAAGAGAGAAGAAGAAGAAGGCAAGCATAGCGTGCCAAGTCATAGAGAGAGGCAAAACTCTGGAAAGCCTCGCCTCGCTATGCCTCGCACGCGGGAGGTCGGTGGGACTATGCGGGGGTGGGGAGGGGGCCGAAGGCGAGACATGAGCAGCAGCACCACAATGTCTTTAAACAAGTGAGAGCAAGGGGAGGACATACTGGGAACGTGGACAAGCAAGAAGAGCAAAACTTAGGAAGACGATGAAGAGGTGGAGGAGGAGAGAGGCGGCACAGGCGGCAACACGCGCTACAGTGTGGGCACATGACTCTGTTAGAGTGATATGCCACGAAGCCGAATGGACTTGAGCCAAGCGGAGACCAGTGCCAAGGCCAACACCCCAGCCACCCGATCTAGCTGCCGAGGAGGCGGGCAATGCAAAAACGGGACGGAGTACAGAGCACAGAGTACAGTAAAGTACAGCACGGACGGCTGATGATGCTATGGCCCACAGGTACCTATGTTTGCAACCGACCCAGAGGCCGGGTTTTGAATAATATATGACAAAGTTGATTTGCGCCTCCATGCCCCTCCAAAATCGGTTCCATAAAGGCACAGGGTGTGACCGGTTATGTCCTGTTAAGACGGTGTGAGTGAGCTAGAAGTTTGGAGTGGAGATCCAATGCAGTGTGTCAGTGAGGTCCAATGACTCCTTCATAAATTACATTAACATATATTGACTATACATATATACATATATATATATATATGTATAGATGCAACGGACAGTAGGCATCAAACTGGTAAGTGTTACGTCTTTGCTACGCACCGGGTGCAAGGAAACCCGGAAGAGCCTTTGGAGCCAGAATTCAGTGGACTAGTATGGGCTGCAAAGGCGCGGGCGCGCCGTCGAGAGCTGCTGGCTAGCAGCGGTCCAGACGGAATCTTAGCTGTCGGAGTCGGATTTAGTAATTGATAGTAATTGCCTGTACCCTCTCAGGCCATCTCAGGCCCCTCTGCAACGTAATGATTACACATTAATGCCATATGCGAAAAGAAAAGCACTTTCCGCCTCGCTGCGGTTCGTGAAATCCCGAAAGTACTCCAGAAATGCGTGCAAAATGGCTGAAGGCTCTCCGAAGTGCCCGAAGGGCAAGGCATGTTCAAAACGTGGCCGTATGTGGCCGTGCGGGTAATTGTCTCTCAGGCCACGCAGCTGCTCATTGGGGACGCCATCGGCGATGCCTTTGGGGCCATCATTGAGATGCAGGATGCGCCGGGTGCCCAATCCTAGTGGCAGCATGGCCGAGTGCTTGAAGTAGATCTTGCAACGCCGAGAAAGATGTAAACGATCCGTGAAGATGCTTCTCATCTCGAGATATCTCGAGCCACTGGGCCACTGGGGGCATTGGCAAGAGAATGCAGACAACGGTGCTCAACGACCCATATTACAAGATCTTGCATCGGCGCGAGGTACTGGATCCGGGAATCTGTGACCTTCGATCAGTGGCCCAGAAATCCCATGCGCAGGCAGGAAGCCATCCGATGAATCCAATGAATCCAACAAAAGAAATTGTTTTGGATTGAAAAAGGTCGGAGTGGGACACCAACACCGTCCCAGTCTTACTGCAGCACACGTTCAGTGATTTTGGCATACATAATGCGCGCAGTCTCGAGTTGCTGTTCTCCTGAACTGGCCCAACCTAGCTGCCTAGTTGTTTAGGTGAGGGAACAGCTACAGATCAGTTGCATGGAAGCTTCCTCATGGGAAGAAGTGGTTGCCTCCCATGAAGCGCAGCGTTCCGCTGGCTGCTGCTTCATGGGTCCTCTTCAGCTCAAGAAAGAGCCAACGCGAGGGATGCTCGGCTTGCAGGCCAGCCTCATAGCTGAGCGCAGAGCCGTGGGGCTCAAGGGAGTTATCGTGGTCCAGAAGTGCAAGCTGTAGGTACTCCTTCATTGTCCTACATGACGTGCCAGCACATTCTGTCCTCCTCATTGAAAAGCCGTTGCAGTTCACGGGGGACGTGCCATCCTGCTATCACCCTCGTGCTGTCCAAGCAACGCTGCAGAACAGTCATGTCTTTTTACGCCTTGGAACGGTGCTCGCATGTCTTGCTCTTGTTTTTGAATTGTGAGTGATAATTTGCACGCATCAAAGATCTTCACGAATTTAAATGAAGCATCGTCCGCTTTGACGAGAATCTTTGTGACTTTCTTGATCGCATGACTGAGGATGTGCCTGCATTTCTCTACTTCTTTCCGCTGTTGTTGGTGCCGAAGAGCGTGCTTGAAAAGTTGCCGGCTTGCACTTTGCAATCTATGCATCACACGGCCGTTGTTCATGCAGTTGTCTAATGGCGGCTGCTTGCGGGGCAATCCGAGGTTGCCTCGCTTGATTCACACCCTGCGCGCACGTATCAACCGATTTGAAGCCTTGTATGGCCTGGGGACCATCTTCAACCACTCCTGCAGACCGAACGCTCGCCGGCTCACCGATGGAACGGAGAAGGTCAGCTTCTCGTCTTGAGGTTGTTTTGCCTTGGTGTATTTTGCGAGGCAGGGGGGGGGGGGGCCTCCAAAGCTTGGGATGAACGATTAGAGTTGATAAGCGATGAGAGTCATCTTATGTCATTGTTGAACGCTCCCTCTTCCTTGGA